GATCCTATCCCCCTCCCAGTGCTGTCCTCACCATCACCCCCACGTCCTATCTCAGAGAAGGAGAGACCCCAAGGGTTACCAGCCCACCCTGGCATCTCAAGTCACAGCATCTTCTCCCACTGAGGCTAGACAAGGCAACCCAGCTAGGGGAAAGGGATCCACGGGCAGGCAGCAGAGTCAGAGACAGCCCCTACTCCCATTGTTAGGAGACCCACATGATGACCGCACTGCACATCTGCTACATATGTAAGGGGCCTAGGACCAGTCCATGCATGCTCTGGTTGGCGGTTTAGTCTATGAGCCCCCATGGGCCCAGGTTAGTTTACTCTGTAGGTCTTCTTGTGGTGTCCTTGACCCCTCCAGCTTCCTCTATCCTTCCTCCCACTCTTCCACAAACCTCCTTGAGTTCTCGGCCTATTATTTGGGTCTCTGCATCTGTTTCCAACGGCTGCTGAATGAAGCCTCTCAGAAGACAATTATGCTAAAATAAGCTCCTGTCTGCAAGCATAGGAGAGCATCATTAATAGTGTCGGGGGGCAGGCATGGTGGCACACACCTGTAATCACAGCACTCAGGGAGGCAGAGGCAGGTAGATTGCTGTGAGTTTGATACCAGCCTGGTCAATAAAGCAAGTCCAGGATAGCCAAGGCTGCACAGAGAAACCCTGTCTAGAAAAACAAAATAGTGTCAGGGGCTGGCCCTCTTCCATGAGGTGGGTATCAAGTTGGGCCAATCATTGGCGTGCCATTTCCACAAACCCAAAGAAGCCAAGGAGGGCACACGGAGGATGCTTGAATCTCACGAAGAGATGGAAATAAAATAGTCATCTGAAGTAGATGGAGAGAGCTTTGTGGGAGAGGAGGTGTGGTGGATAACAAAGGTGAAAATCAGGTGTGGTGAAGGAGGGGTGGTAAGGAGAGGTGCAAGGAAGAGGAGGACCTGGAGAGAACAAAAATTGGTGGGGAGCATCTCTGAGACAAAGTGGTCCTGGGAAGTCTATGGGGGTGACCCTAGCTGAAAGCCCTAACAGTGGGGGACGTGGAGCCTGAACTTGACAGCTCCTGTAGCCAAGTTGGACTTCCAGTAGAGGGAAGGTGGCACCAACCCACCCATAAAACTTCTGACCCAAAATTCGTCTTGCCTACAAGAAGTATAGGGATAAAGATGGAGCAACTGCTTTTTTTAAAAAAAAATTGAAATATTTTTTTCTTGTTTCTTCATAACTAGCTGGGTAATTCCACTGCGTGACTGCTGATGTCACTATGATGTCATGAAGGTGGCACCCAGACATTCTGGCTCACAGACTGTGTGTGCCAAACACAGGATCTTAATAGTTCAGAAAGTTTTCTGCTAAAGACTGGCGCACATATGTCAGGCAGTCTCATCAAAAGTGATACTTCTACCATGTTTAATGTTCTGCTTTCTGTCTCCATGGCTCCTTGAGGGCTTTGATGATCAGGGCAGGAGGTACAGCCTCAGCCTGGGCCTGTCAGTTGAGAGTGGTTAGTTCACTGTAATCCTTGGACCTTTCCAATCACTGGGTGCCTTAGCAATGTCACCATCAACTTTTTTGGAGACAGACCCACTGGGACTGAACTTGGGGCCCAGTGCAGGTGTGGCTCAGGTACAGGACTTTGATACCACTAGGGTCAAACTTCAGAGGCTGGTGTCAGATAAACTGAAGGAAGTCACACTGCTCTGAGCCCAAACCTGAAAGCATTTTAAAGCCGTTTTAAATAGTACATACTTTTATAAAAAGCATTTTTAAAGCATTTTTTTTAATTAGAGGGAAAAAAATACTCTCTAATGAGTAAGGCACCCTATGTATCACGAGTTTTTCTCATCACTTGATACACACATGACTTGTCTACGTTGTGCTTCCTCCCAGATCGTCAATCTCCTTGTATATAATTGTCTCTACCTAGTGTTTAGAATACCTTGCCAGTGGTCTTCTTTATGCAGTTACTCTGTCTTCTGAATAAGAACCAATCTTTCTTTTGCCCCTTTCACTATCATCTATTCTTAACATGGTAGTCTTAACTCTCTCAACATTTATTTCTAAACTCCCTTCAAGGAAGTTATGGATGGGAGGATTGGCATGCAAGCTTGTTTTCCAGGGCCTATAAGATAAGATCTTGCCTGTGTCCTTCTCTTGTAAATTTTTCTCTGCCCTCTTGTTTGAGTCAGTCCCAAGGAATTTGTACTCCTCCCTCCCCTCCCCTTGCTTACTCCCACCTTGCCTCATCTCAACATAGTTTACCCTACCTAGACTGTACTTAACTGGAATCTTAAGACATAATAAGCCCACCCTTCTGGATAGTCACAGTTCCCTCCACTCTCAAAGAAGAAACTGAATAATAAATCAGGGTCTCCTAAACAGAAGGTTAGTAGGGGAAATGGGCATGAATAGTTAATTTCATAGAAAATTGGCAGGATTATTAATGGGTAGGTTACATTGTGTGCAGTTGATTTTACATTACTACATTTTTTGATCGTTGATACTTAAGCACATTTATTTTACTGCCTAGCATAAAACAATGATAGATTGTTTGTTTGTTTATTTAAGCCTTAATGGGGCGGGCAAGGGTGCTTGCCACTAACCTGGGCAAATAAGAGTTTGATTCCTGGGACCCCCCTGCTAGAGAGAACTGATTCCCAAAAGTTGTCCTCTGACTTTGCATTCCTCATGCCAGTAGAATAAGGATCCACTGGAAATGGGTTTTAGCTGACCTTCTATCAGTGTTCTGTTCGTAGCATAATGCCTGGCATGTGAGGCCTTACCCAATAAATGTTATTGAATGAAAAAATAAAAATGAGGTATTTAAATAGCTCAGAGGTTAGAGCACTGGCTGCACTTCCAAAGGCCCTAAGTTCAATTCCCAACAACCACATGATGGCTCACAACCATCTATAATGAGATCTGGTGTCCTCTTCTGGCCTGCAGGCAGAATGTTGTACACATAATAAATCTTTAAAAAAAAGTTATACCCTTCTCAAATTTATCTGTATACATGGTGGCCAGCAAAGCAACTCTACAATAATCATTTCAAAAAAACACTAGTAAATAAGTCATACAAAATTTCACACTGTTATTTACTATTCAGCTTGGGAACAGTTAATTAATCTCAGCCTACTTTCCTTCATTTACAGGTGAATAAAGTCTTGAATAAATGGTGTGATATTATCTGGGAATGTAGTTCAGTTGATATAGTGCTTGCCTACCATGAAGCCCGATTCTCAGCGCCCCATAAGTTCTAATGTGCACACCTGTAAACGCCAACAGTCAGGAGGTGGAGGCAAGAGATCAGAAGTTTAAGTTCTTCCTTGGCTACTTAGAGTTGGTGAAGTGTGAAGCCAGCCTAGACTATGTGAAACCCTGTCTCAAAAGAAATAACAAGTTCTGCTTTGCTTTTTTAACAATTTATTTTATGTGTATGGACCTGCTCATATGGTTTTGAACTGTGATATGCAGAACATGTGGAAGCCAGAAGAGGGCATCAGATCTCTTGGAACTGCAGTTGTAAGCAGCTGTGAGCAGCTGGGTATGGAACCTGGCTCTTAATTCCTGAGCCTTTAGATGAGTTTTTATGAAGCACCTACCCGGCCCTGCAGGACTGGTACTCAGTGTTTATTTTGGGCCTCTATTATTTGTGTAATAATGTTTACTTTATGGTCTTTGGTCTTAAATTTAGCTCTTAGGAGCCTTTTTAAAATGTGTGTGTACATATATGTAAATACTATTGAGCAGATACTTAATGACACAGCTGTGCCCCAAGTGTCAGCCACTCAAAGTGTGTAGATACAGAAGTTAAGGGTCTTCTTAACTTCTGAAGGCAAGAAAGGGTAAATGTGATCCTGGCTAAAAGCACTAGGAAGAAGCCAGGTGTAGGTGGCCTATGCTTTAATCTCAGCACTTGGAAAGCAGAGGCAGGTGCTTCTCTATGAGGTCAAGGCCAGCCTTGTCTACATAGAGTTCCAGGACAGCCAGCACTACATAAAGAAACTGTCTCTACCCTGCTCCCCACCCCCCAAAAAAAGTATAGAGAAAGCTGAAACTAGATAAGGGGCTGAACATAGCAAGAGTGTAGGACTATTTTGATGGGATGCTCATTTAGGCAGACCTGAATGAAGTGAGGAAAGGCATTAACCATGCCCTCATATAGAGAAAAGAGTTCTAGGTAGGAGGTCTGACATTGAAAAGACTAAGGTTGCAGCAAGTATGTATGTTCCAGCAAGCAAGACTATGTCTAGAAAGCTGAGAAGTGAGGAAGCAGGAAATGGTGAGGGGAAGTCCCTGAAGGCTAGGATTCTGCAGAGCTTTGTTTACCTGCCAGTGACTTTGGATTTTATTCCATCTTCAGTAACTTGCATGTTGGTACATGATCTGAGGTATAGTATGTTCACTGTTTGAGAATGTAGTTTTCCTCATGTAATTGATAGGGATTTAAGTGAAATTTTAGCATGTCCTGCAAAATATCTAACCTATTATTTATGGAATTCTGTTGAAGTTTATGAAACTATTAATTAGACTATTAAAGAGATCAGCAGCCTCCAGAGAGATTAGCACTACAGTTACACTCTGTTAATTAAAAGGAGTATTCTGTATATTTTACAAATTGTTGTTTGTAAATCTAGTTTCCCTTTTTGGGTTGGGTTGGGTTGGGTTGGGTTGGGTTGGGTTGGGTTGGGTTGGGTTGGGTTTGGTTTTTCAAGACCAGGTTTCTCTATGTAGTCTTGGCTGTCCTGGACTCGATTTGTAGACCAGGCTGGCTTTGAACTCACAGAGATCCACCTGCCTCTGCCTCCCAGAGTGGTTGGAATACAGGTGTGTGCCACTATGCCCTGCTTGTCTTCATTGATAATCATTTCTATTTTCTTATGATATAATCTGACTTTGAAGATTTGACTTCAGAGAGTCATATCATACATCAGACCTTGTTCTGAATAATTTTTAAGTTAAATTTGAAGTTGCTCATTTAACACAAATGTCTGTATTTCAGATGGAGCAACTATCAGATGAAGAAATTGACCATGGTGCTGAAGAAGACAGTGACAAGGAAGATCAGGACCTGGATAAAATGTTTGGAGCCTGGCTTGGGGAACTGGACAAACTTACTCAGGTTAGAAGTATTACTTGAAAAGCTGGTTGAAGATTTGAAGTTATTACTACATGTTTAAAGTTTAATGTACAGACAAAGGTGTGCAGGCTAAATTTTAAAATACTGCTAAAAGAGAAAAATAATAGATGAATAGAAACTTTACAGTGCAAGATAGCTTCTTCTGCGGTTGTTATTTGTATACTCTGTGGACACGTGTGTGTGGTGTGTATGTTCATCTGTGTGTACAGGTACATGTAGGCAGAGACCAGAGGATCTCCCCAGGGTCACCATTTTCTTGACACACAGGGTCTTCAGTCTCTCTCCTTTCTTCTTAACCACTCCCACCCCTTTAATGAAGCAGGGCTGGAGATTTTTTTGGTTAAAAATAAGTTTAAAATAAGCTTAAGCATCAGGGCTGGGGAAAAGGCATTCAGAAGAAGTAGGAAAATTGGTGTGGGCTCCCCAAGAAGGCTCCAGGTGAGACAGGTGTTTCTTTGGCATAACACTTACTTGTTAGGCTAGGCCCCAGGGATCTTGCCTCCCCAGGGCTGGGATTGTAAGTGCCCGCCATTTGGATTTGGTTTCGGGAGTGTCCTCATTCTTGCAAGTGTTTTACCAGCTGAGTCATTTTCCTGGCCCCCTTTTTATGGTTATTCTAAGGTTTAAAAAAAAAAAAAAAAAAAAAAGCAAAAAACAATTCTTTAACAGAATTTCTGTTATTTTGGGAGGGGACTTAATATCTTTCACAAATTGGAGATTGGAAACTAAGACAATTTTGAAGTCTGAAGTTTAAGAATCTAAATTTTGACATATTTTCTTTTGTAACAAATTTAAATATATTTTGTGATATATTATTTGTATTTTCTAGATCATATTTTCAAAATGCTAACCAAAGTTCATTCCAGAGCTATGTTTAAAATAGTTTTAAAGGTGTGTTTTTGTTTTCTGTTGTTGTTGGTTGGTTGGTTGGTGTGGTTTTTTCTTTTTTTTATTTATTTATTATTCATACAGCATTCTGCCTGTGTTACCAGAAGAGGACTCCAGATCTCACTATAGACAGTTAGGAGACACCATGTGGTTGCTGGGAATTCAACTCAGGACCTTTCAAAGAACAGCCAGTGCTCTTAACCTCTGAGACATCTCTCTAGCCTGGGTTTTTTGTTTTGTTTGCTTTGCTTTGCTTTATTTTACTGGACTGTGGATTTGTTGTTGCTGGCGGTGGTGATGCGTGGTTGGCCAGTCTTTAGGATGGGGTCTCATGTAGCTCAGGTTGGTCTTGGACGTGACATGCAACTTGATTGCGTCTAAGGCCAACCTTGAGTTGCTGATCTTGTGCCTACTGCCCAGGCATTGAGATTACAGGCATGGGCCATCATTGTGTATGCTTACTCATTTGTTTGTTCTGGATCACAGGTCTTGATTTTTAAATTTTTATCATTATGTTGTATGTGTCAGGTGGAGGGTGAGTGCATGTGCGCCACAGCGTGCATGTGGCGTTTCTGTGTGGGTTTCAGACATAGAATTCGAGGACCAGGTTTTCGTGGCAAGCATTTTACTCCCTGAGACATTATCCACTATGCCACTTTTTAGAATAAAATGATGCAGTTTTTACTTCCCTGGTTAATATATTGCACGCAATATATAAAGATGGTCATATTTATTAAAAAAAATTTGACTTCATAATAATAAGAACATTAGGACAAACATGTTTAAATAATTTCTTTGGTAATGTCTATAAGATTCCATAACTAATGGAAAAATAAGATGGATGCCTAACGTTCCAGCTGACTTCACAGCTGTGGATCAGCTTGAGAGGCAGATACGTTTGGTTTGCAGCTATACTCTATTACTGCTAGACTGGGAGGAGGATGTTTTCAGTTCTGCCAGGATTCCATGTGGATCTTTCCTGTCATCTCTGTCTAAGTTACTCTTCTATTGTTGTGAAGAGACACCGTGACCTAGGCAACTGATAAGCTTACAGTTGCCAAGGGTGAATCCACAACTATCATGGCAGGGAGCATGGCAGGAGACAGGCATGAAGCTGGAGCAGTAGCTGAGCCTTCCATGTGATCCACAAGCAGGAAGCAGAAGGAGAGAAACTAGGCCTAGCTGAGCTTTTGAAGCCTCAAAGCCCACTTGGTGGCACACCTCCTGAAAGGCCGTATCTCCTAATCCTTTTAATCTGGGAACCAAACATTCAAATATATGAGCCTCGGGGAGTCATTCTCATTTTAACCACTACAAGCTGTAATCAGTAAAGGTAACATTATTTTTGTCAAACTGCAAGTATCAAATTCCATCTGATTTCCTGTTCTGCAGTTGGCAGGGGCAGGCAGGCATGTGTATATGGGTGCACACATGTATATAGAGTCCAGAGGCTGATGTTTGGTGTGTTAGTCAACATTTTCTAAAAGAACAGAACTGGTAGACCGAATACATACATACTAAAGGAGGGTGGTGATCCAGCCAGCAATGGCTGCCTCTTGATGGGAAGGCCAAAATTTCAGTAATAATTGTTCAGTCCATGAGGTGTATGTCCCAGCGGTCCCATTCTGGAGTCCTGGGGTATTCCTACAGTGCTGCTCTATTTAGTCTATATTGGATCCTGAAGAAGTAGATTCTAATACCAGCAAAGGAATAATAGCCACAGGATAGATGAGCCTGCCAGTGAGAGGGTGGGCAAGCACGCAAAAAGCCAAAGCTTCTTTCTTCCATGTCCTTTTAAGTGGGCTGCACCGGATTTCGGGTGGGCCTTCCTATTTCAAAAAATCCAGTCAGGAGAATCCCTCACAGCTGTGCACAGCTGCTTGGGTTTTATTTGCTTCCAGGTATAGTCAAATTGATAGTCAGAATTAGCCATCATATCTGTTATCCTTCTATTTTTTATTTCATATTTATATTGGGGGTAGCAGTCATGTATGTGTGAAATGTGTGGAGGTCAGAAGAGAACTTGTGGAGTTGGTTCTGTCTTCCTACTATGTGGGTCTCAGGGATTGAACTTAGATTGAAAAGTGTGGTAGCAAGGGCCTTAATGTCTAAGTTATCTCTCTGGCTGTCACCCTTATTTTTTGAAACCCAGTCTCTTTCTTGTTGAACCTGAGGCTCATCAGTTATCTAGACTGGCTGACTAGCAAGCCCCAGGGATCTTCATGTCTCTGCCTCTCCATTGCCAAGATACAGGCACTACCCAGGCATATGTGCCCATCTTTTACATGTGTGCTGCAGATTAAACTCAGGTCCCCATGCACTTAACTGACCCGTTTTCCTAGTTCTTAATTCTTAGTTATTTTTACAGAAAGCAGTTTGTCATAGGATGATGACTAGGTATCCAGTTCTGTGCCGCTGTGATGGTTTTAATAAATGTTCCTATCCCGTTAGGTGTTTAAATTCTTGGTTCCGAGTTCGTGGCTCTGCTGGAGAGTCACTGAGGGTGGGCTGCAGCCTTGCTCACCTCTTCTGGTGGAAAGACGTTCTCTCTCAGCTCCCCGCCCCTGCTGACACACTTCTGCCATGCGAGTTGACCCTTAGTCCTCTGGAACCCCACACGCAAATAAACTCTTAGCTCTGTAAGTTGCCCCTGTTATGAGGTTTTTTCACAGCCACAGAAAAAGAAGAAAGGAAGATGCAAACAGAAGAAATAGAAATAATAGTGAATAGAGAAAATTATCCAAGGGCCAGCTAGTATACTGTGCTGTCTGTGACCAAGTGGTTGTATACTTGAATAGGAGGCCAAAAAGAGATGGCAGGTAGAAGAGCGTCCGGCTGCCCTGGACTCTCCACCCAGAAATGCAGATGGCCTTTCTCCTCACTTGGTGCTATGTTCTCACGTGTATTTTAAGTTGCCTGCCTTTCCCTCATAGAAATCTGTCATTAAAGAGAAACATTAAAACCAACGCATCTTACGACTCACTGTTAACATGTTACTATTGGTGGATAGTTGAAGAAGTAGTTGACTTTCTGAGATTCAGATTTATTTCATTACTTCAGTTCACTGCAGTGTTACCAGTGCACGTATTCCATGTTAATAATTAAGCAAACTTAAGTTTTAAATAGTTGGATTCCTTTCTAATAGTTGTTGAAATGCATCTATTGTGCATTTTTCTGGGATAAGATCTGTAGGATTTTGCAGAATTTTAGCGACCTCCCCACACTGTGATTAAAACCACCACACTGTATTACCAACTTCTTGACCTAAGGAGTCTCTCAGTATTTCCTTTTTTGCCTCAGCACCATGGACAGGTAATTAAGATACATGTTCATTTATCTGACCTAGAAAGAGGTTGACTTTTAATAAGTCTTCAGTTATAGTCATTTTACAGAAAATATTTGTCCCTTCAGCTCTTTTGAAAGAATTATTTAAAATTTCTTCTGAAGAATTAGGTTCAAGGTTAAAGGAGAATTTCTTAGCTGTTTTTTGAACTTTTGAAATAAAAGCACTGAGTAGGTTGTGGACCATGTTCATTTGATAGCTGCAAAAACAGGATGGAGGACTGGAGAAGTGGCTCAGTGGTTAAGAACACGAGCTGTTCTTACGGAGGACACAGGTTTGGTTCTCAGCACCCACGTGGCAGCTCATAAATGTCTGCAACTCCAGTTTTAGGGGATCCAACTACCTCTTCTAGCCTCCAAGGCACTGCATGCACACCCAGTGCCTTACACACCAGACAAAGTACTCATACACATAAAAAGAAATCTTTAAGAACAAAACGGAGCCTGGGCATGTAGTTTAATTGGTGGTGTGCTTTCCTAGCAGTACAGAGACCAGGTCGCATCCCCAGTGTACTACCTAAGGCAGGTGTGGCAGCATATAGCTGTAATCCCAGCACTCTAGAGGTCAGCTTCATTTACCGCCATTTTCTACTGTGTTCAGTGATGGTAGCTCAGCCTGGGCTCCAAGGTGAGTTTATTTAAAAACAAGATGGGCACGGTTTGAATGAATTATCAAAGTCTTGAGATAGGTAAAAAAAAGATAGCATTCTAATGTAAAATGGTTATACAAATAAAATACCTTCTTTTTTATTTTTGTTTTTAAGATATGTTTTCTCTGTGACGCCCTGGCTGTCCTGGGACTTGCTCTGTAGACCAGGCTGGCCTCGAACTCAAAGAGATCCACCTGCCTCTGCCTCCTAAGTGCTGGAATTATAGGTATGCACTACTATGCTCAGCACCAAATATCTTTTTAAACCTTAAACTTATTTGATAGGACGTTTATTTAGAGACTAGTTGTAAAAGATTATTCTAACTTTAGTTAGATTTCTTTTCCTCCTCCTCCTTCATTGTTGTTGTAATTTTCTGTTTAGATACCTTTTTTCCTTATTGTAGAAAAGCTACAGGTGAAAAGAGTATCATTGTAAGAAGGTGGCGAGAGCTAGAAGTGTGATCTAGTGGTAGATTGGAGTGTCTGCTATGCACAAGGCCTTAGGTTCTGTCCCCAGAACACAAAAGAAAGGGAAGGAGGAAATGAAATTCAAGATTGTGTTTGTCTTTAGACATAGATGAGATTGTGCTAGATCAAAAAACACAACTCTTGGAGGAAAGAGATGGCAAAACCCTTCATGGTTCTTTTCCATGTCCATATTCATATACTTAAATTATCTCATAGTGAATGTATATAGAATGAAGTCATTGCCTGTATGATGTATTTGAAAAAGTATTTACCCTGAACTGTGACAGTTTTGAATCTCAGTTGTCTTAAAAGTAAGAATATATTTAAAAATTGACGATAACTAACGAAAACCAATTATGTTTTCTTGGGGCTACATTAAAAAGAAACTTTAGCTTTGTTAATATGTGTGGATAGTTTTATGTCAACTCGTCACAGCTGTAGTCATCTGAGAGGAGGGAGCCTCAAGAAAATGCCTCTGTAAGACAAGTCTGTAGGGCATGTTATAAATTAGTGATTGCTGGGGGAGGGCCCAGCCCTTTGTGGTAGTGCCATCCTCAAGCTGCTGGTCCTGGATTCCATAAGAAAGCAAGCTGAGCAAGCCAATAAGCAGCACCCCTCCGTGATCTCTGCATCAGCTCTTGCCTCCAGGTTCCTGCCCTGTTTGAGTTCCTGCCCTGACTTCCTTTTGATGACAAACAGTGATATGAAAGTGTAAGCCATATAAAAACCCTTTCTTCTCTGATTCGCTTTTCGATCATGGTGTTTCATCACAGCAATAGAAACTAACTAAGACAATATGGCAGTTTATTCATCTTTTTGTGTAATGGGAACTCACATTAATATGACTTGTTAAACTAACTTTCTTCCTCTCTCTCTCTCTCTTTCTTTCTTTTCTTTTTTGTTTTTTAAGAGTTTGGATTCTGACAAGCCCAAAGAACCAGTGAAAAGATCTCCTCTTCGTCAGGAAACAAATATGGCCAATTTTTCTTACCGTTTCTCCATATACAACTTGAATGGTAAGATTTGATTAAGTGAAGTCAAAAGTAGTATTATACTAAGTTCTATAATACAGGAAATGCAATTCAAAATGTAAAACTATATAAAAATTATATACATAATTTGATTGAGTTGTTTTCTTTCTTAAAATTAGTGTGTGTGTGTGTGTGTGTATGTTTGTGTGTGTGTGTGTATGTGTGTGTATGTGTGTAGGTATACACATGAGTGCAGGTCCCTGCAGAGGCCAGAAGTGTCAGATAATCTTGAAGCTGGAGTTATAGGTAGTTGTGAACCATCTAATGTGGGTGCTAAGAATCAAACTCAGGTCCTCTGGAAGAGCAGTACTTAGCCACTGAGCCATCTGTCCATTCTGAGTTCTATTTTTCCTAATTTATACAATTAATTCAGATTAATCACAGAAAAAAAGGCAGCTACAACATAACATGGTTTTCTTGTCATGTATTTAGTACTTGATACTGTGCATGCTAAGGAGAAAGCCCACAGCAATCTGACTGAATTGAAGTTCAAAGAAAATCTTTCTTAGTAATTTTAAAATCAACCTATGTGACCTTTATTTAATGTACTTGGTCACTTGTTAGTGTTTGTAATAAGTGTTCTGAATTTCCTTAGACTTTTTTCTTCTCTGTGTGCCCTTCTCTCTTGTGGTAATACTATATCTACCTGAACACTGGGCCATGCCAATAGCTGGCTTAGGGTTTCTATTGCTGTGATGAAACACCATGACCAAAAACAAGTTGGGAAGCAAAGGGTTTATTTGGCTTATTTGTCCATCACTGAAGGAAGTCAGGACAGGAACTCAAGCAGCAGGAACTTGGAGGCAGCTGCTGATACAGAGGCCATGGAGGGTGCTGCTTACTGGCTTGCTTCCCCTGGCTTGCTCACCCTGCTTTTTTATGGAACCCAGGACCACCAGCCCAGGGATGACACCACCCACAATGGGCTGGGCCCTCCCCCATCAATCACTAATTAAGAAAATGCCTGATAGCCAGATCTTATGAAGGCTTTTTTTCAGTTGAGGTTCCCTCCTTTCAGATAACGCTCACTTGTATCAAGCTAACACAGTAGTATAAATTTACGTGGGAGATTAGATAAAACCATGGAATAGTACAAGGTGTTTTCAGTATTTTGTCTTTGAACTTACAACCATATTTTCCTTACCAGAGATCTTAAAGGATAAGCTATTTGTTTCTAAAATATCTCTCAGGATTTAAAACAGAACCTATTAAATACTTTATTTGATTGTTTCTAGGCCCAATGAAATATATTCTTTTGCTTTTTTCCCACTGCCTATGGCTAATTATAATAGAATGGATAGATTTTGATTATGTCCTGGAAACTTGTGTCTTCTCTGTAGAAGCTCTGAATCAGGGAGAAACTGTGGATCTGGATGCCCTGATGGCCGACCTCTGCTCTATAGAGCAGGAGCTCAGCAGCATTGGCTCAGGAAACAGTAAGCGTCAAGTCACAGAACCAAAAGCTACTCAGAAGCCAACTTCTGGCCGACATTCATCGAAACATGGCACCCTCAGAGGACTGTCCTCTTCCTCTAATAGAACAACTAAGCCTCCCCAGGCTAACTACTCCCTGGATGACATCACTGCACAGTTGGAACAGGCTTCCTTGAGCATGGATGAGGCCGCTCAGCAGTCTGTAGTAGAAGATTCTAAGCCTGTAGTAACGAGTCAGCACAGAAGGACTGCGTCAGCAGGCACCGTGAGTGATGCTGAGGTGCGCTCTGTTAGCAACTCCTCCCGTTCCAGCATCGCTTCTGCAGCCTCTAGCATGGATTCTTTGGATATTGATAAAGTGACACGCCCTCAAGAACTGGATTTAACAACACATCAGGGGCAGCCAATTACTGAGGTAAATAGAGGAAGTTTTCTTCTGTTTTTCTGTCCTTAAAATACAGAGAAATGGCTGTTTCATTTTGTTTTGTTTTAATGGAGCTTTGGCTGACTTTGGTTACTTCTTTAATATTTAAAATTTGTTGAAAGTACTTCTCAGCTAAATGAGACCACAGAAGAGTTTGTCACCAGACATGACAGTGTCACAAAGATGAGCTAGATGGGGTTTAGATTTTTCTTATTGTCTTTGACTTGTTAGAATCCCTTGAATTAATGACAGTTATTTCATGTGATTTTAAAAAAATGAATGATGATTTGCAAAGCCATAAGTAAGCTGATAATTGTTTTTAACATAATTAAAATGAGACCATAAGGCATGTAAATCCTCATTGTAAGCTAAAATTCTGTTTGGAGTTTGCTCCATTCTGTTATCAAAGAGTTAGTCTGATGTAGTAGAAAGGAAAGCTGGACTTCCAGAACATGTGTCTTTGTCATTTGGTACCTATGGAACTCAGGTCAGTTGTTCAGTCTTTGCAGATATCAGTTTCTCATAAGAAAAATTTTAATTCCTATTACTTGGTCTGCCTTTCCTCTCTTCCTTATAGAGTGTCTCAGAGTTGAAAATGATAACAGGTGATATGAGATGACATAAGTATTTTGGGGTAAGGGTAGAAGATGGATTTGTGATAATAAATTTAACAAAAGAAAGGGATTTCTCTTGATTTCTTTGCATCAAGAAGATAGCAGTTTTGTTGTATGGTAAGAACAGGAGAGAAAGTGAAAGGCGCAGAACAAAGTCAGCCTTTCCAGCGAGCTTGTGTTTACATACTCTGCTACAACATAAAAGAATGTCTGCATTATTGGCACTAGTGTGAAGTAGTGTACGACATCATCGAAAGAATCACAGGGAAACTTGAAACTTACACTATGTGGCATCATTAGACTCTCCCCTACCAAACTGATTTAATTCTTTAGATTAAAGATAAATTTAAATTAACGAGTAACCCAAGTGCTTAGGTCTGCCTGAGGTGCCGTGGAGCACAAGAGAAGCGATGACCATCACTGTGGTTTAGAGGCAAGTAGCTGCTACAGGGAAAGTAGCCAAATCCTAGGAGCCTAAAGAACAAGCCCTCATTTAGCTGGCTCTCGTTTGTCTAAATCCTGTGTTCTGTAAAGAGTTTGAAAGCCAGTTTCTACTGTATGAAGAAACCCAACGTCTGCTCTGTGACCTAGGAGCCCTGTCCAGTACCAGCTCCTCAGCATTGCATTTCATGCCTGTCAGATTTTCCCGTTGAGAGTTAAGTAAGCAGTGTTTATTAGCAATGCGTTCTTCTCTTCCTTGTCTTGTTTGTTATTACTTCCTTTCTGTCCTGTTATTCTGAGTTAGGTCAAAGTGCATGAGAACAGATCTGAACTAATCACCAAGGATACTCTGTGTGGCTGTTGACTGTCCTGTCCATCTGTCTTTCTGTCTATAAAATACCACTCACTAATGTTTAAACAATGTAAGAGAATATAAACTGAAAGCCCATCTCTCAAGAAACACATCAAACAGTATCCGGTGATACCCATTGGTAAAGATACCAATATTTGGTGATGTAGTGTTTAATATGATATTTTCAATATGAGGTTTGGTAGGTGAATCAGGAATAGTCTAAAGTTTTATCTGGCTTCCTCTGTCCAGGGTGATTTAAAAAAAAAAAAAAAAGGCTTAAAAACTTGCTTTTAATATCCTTTGTCTTTTTTTTTTAACTTTATTTATTTATTTATTCATTCATTCATTCATTCATTCATTCATTCATTCACTTTACATCCTGATTGCAGCCCCCTGCCTCTCCTACCAGTTTCCCCCTCACATACTCCACCTCTCCATTCTCCCTTCTTCTTCTTCTCAGAAGGTACCAACATGCCCTGGTACATTAAGTCCCTGCAGAACTATGTGCATCCTCTCCCACTGAGGCCAGACTAGGCAGCCTCAGTGAGGCTAGGGGAACGGGATCCAGAGGGAGGCCTCAGAGTCAGAGAGGGCCCCTGTTGGGGGATCCACATGGAGACCAACCTGCATCTGCTACCCATGTAAGGGGCCTAGGACCAGGCCATGCGTGCTCTTTGGTTGGTGGTTCAGTCTCTGTGAGCCCCCATGGGCTCAGGTTAGTTGATTGTGTAGGTCTTCTTGTAGAGGCCTTGACCCCTCCAGCTCCTCAATTGTTCCCCCAACTCTTCCGTAGGACTTCCTGAGCTCTGTCTAATGTTTGGCTGTGGGTCTCTGCATCTCTTTCCATCAGCTGCTGGGTGAAGCCTCTCAGAGGAGTTATGCCAGGCTCCTATATACCGTGTTCTGATTCAGACTGAATAAAATGAGATAAGCTGAACTCATTTTATTAGATCCAAAACCCATGTATCAAATACTCTTAAAATGAAATACAATGTTTAAAATTATAATTAGTTTTTAATACATGAGATTAAATAGTTCTTTCAGACTTAAGTATTTTCTACCATGCACATGTTATATTCTGTCCCCAGAAATAAGCACTTTGTAATCTTTGAGCTGGTTCTTACAACATTTGTCTCCATAACCCACACTTAACGTCACTTTATCTCTTTTTTTCCCTGCTGTCTAAATTACGTACTGAGGTTGGAAGGTGGGACGAAAGCCTCTTTAGAACCTCCCTTCGCTTCTCTGATTCTGCTCCTCAGTTCTTCCCTGGTGAACATTTAGTTACTGTTGTTTATTTCCTTTCTTTGTGTGGTCTGAGAGATCCACCCCAGGACCTTACCTGTGCTGGGCTCCCACGCTCTCCCAACCGAGGCGCCTCTGCCCTCCCAGAATACTCGGTGCTTTGATTACAGTGACTGTGCCCTTGAGGCTGGCTGCAGAACTGCATATTATTTACTTTCTCTTGAGGGATAACAGTTTGCTTTTTAAAACAACAGCAAAAAACAGACAAAAACCCTTCATTTTCTCTGCTTATCATTATTTCAACTCTAAATTACAACAGTTGATTCAATCATGTTTAGCTTGAACAGAGTTAATGTTCTATTAATTTCCTTCCTTTAATTTTCTATTAATTCCCCCCCTTGTCTCTTATTCAGGCTTACTTTTGTGTTTTCCCATAGACCACTAACCCTCTGCAGAGACAATTCTGAAAGTCTCTGGCATGAAGGGCAGCCAGTATTTCAGAAGCTTGTTAGAGAAGAGAACAGGTTCGGATGTGGGATTGTTTCTCAGTGTGAACTTCATCTGACCCTTTCAATTTCTCAATACAAACACAACTGACACTTTGGGCCAGGGGGATTTTGGTTGTAAAATAGTATCCTGGACATTGTAAAATATTTAGTAGCTCACATACCCATGAAACATAAAATCACTCCCATTTGAAAATTTTATCTTTAGATAGAAAATTAATAGCAGGTCAGAGCCCTCTTTTTAGGACAAATTACCTTGGGTTTTCCTTTTCCTGACATGTTTTCTTGGGAACATACCGAATTAAGATTAATTATAGATGGCTAATGCAGGAGGATAACTGAGTTCTCCAGCCTGGACGCAGAGTAAGACATGTTTCAGACTAAGCAGCATGAAAGACTGTATAGAACATCTGTAGGTAGGCCAGAGCTGTAGGCCACACTGTTGCCTAGTGCATGCAAGGCTCTGCTCTCAGCTTCCAGCGCCAAAAGGAAAATGATTGTTCAGAAAAGTCACCAAGAATTATTGTTTATTTTAAAGTTGCCCCCAAATCAGTAAGTGCACGGGGTCTCCATGTCCACAGCAGGAAGAGTGCCATGAAGAACATTCTAAAGTGGTGATAAGACCCTGACTTCCTCATGTATGTTATAACTTTTGTAAGGGAGTAGGAGTGTGTCTTGGAGGGCCCCAGACTTCTGTTCATTACTCCAGATAGTACTGCTGCCTGTGGAATGTGACATTTTCACAACCATGGTCATTTCTGTTCTTACCAATGTGGTCTCTTTTCCACAACCAGCTGTTATTTAGTATGTCCTGGAAAGGCCCCTCGTGAACAGCATGGACTCTAAAGATGACGTTGCCCGAGGCTGCAGAACTGAGTGAACCTCATCTCAAGCAGTGGTCTGCTCTGTTAGGGCATTGAGTAAATGTCAATCTGATCATAAGTCCATTGCTGACATGGCAAATGAAGAAGCAACTCCAGGGGATAACCGCTCTCATCGATGGTTTCTATTGTCTGTAGTCCCACTGTCGCTCCTACTGCTGCTCCAGAGGGCTAGATCTTATGACATAAAGCTGGGTGCTGTTTTGATTTTTTCTCTGATGCTAGCTCAGCATTCAACTTTTTTGGTTTTTTAAGACAGGGTTTCTCTGTGTAGCTTTGGCTGTCCTAGACTCGCTTTGTAGACCAGGCTGGCCTCGAACCCACAGAGACCTGCCTGCCTCTGCCTCTGAAGTGCTGGGATTGCATGCATGTGCCACCATGCCTGGCTAACATTCAACTTCTGTTGGGCCTTTCAAGTTGGTTATTACTTAGCCATATACTTTGTACCTTCCAGAAATTGTCTTTGTCTGTTTGTCTTTTTTTAATTTTTGTTTTAGTGGGATTTGGAAAGTGTGGAACCACCTCATTAGACTCCTAGGAGCCTCTTGTCTTTTGGAGTGCTCCACAGTAGTCTTCAGACTGTCTGTTTTGTTCACGTCCCCCTACTCTGACAACTCCAATTTTTTAAAATATTTTTCATACAATATGTTTTAATCATTTTTCTCCTCCCACAATTCTTCCTGGATCCTCCTTACCCACCCTTTCTCTCTCAAACAAAAATAACAACAAAAAACAAGAAATATCCCCCCCCCCAAAAAAAATAGTTTTATTAGTAATAAAGCAAAAATGCCCAAACAAAGCAAAATGGATCAGAGAGTCACAAAAAGACGACTTAGTTGTTTTGTGCCGGCCAACCAATACTGGGCACTGTACCTGCCGTGAGGTGGGGTTGGTAGACCCTGTGGGATTCCCCGGAGAAAACTGATTTTTCCTGTGCCAAAGGGCAGCAATTGCAATGGCTTCTTTAGGGACGGGGTCCCGTGTCCGCTTCCCTGTCTTATTAGTTCTGGAACACCATCTTGCTTGAACCTGTGTTGGCCTTGTTGATGCCGCCCAGTCTCCGAGTTCATATGTGTGTCCGTCCTGTTGTGTCGAGAACCTTATTACTCGTTTTGTATGTGTTTGTCCTAAGCTATTTGAGAGTTAGGTACATGACCCTTTTCTGTTGGCTCTTACCATTTCTATTTCCTGAGAACCATATCGATCATATAGAATTGACAGTATTGATCTAGTAACTGAAATAGTGCTATAAAACATGTTTAGTGGATAATACATAGAAAAGTGAAGAGTCTCAATTTGACAAAGCATATGGTATGAAGGCAAAGCAGAAGTGGTTCTCCATTTCATAAGTAGTTACTTAACTATTCCACAGATAATGCAGTGCCTAGGCACAGCGCTGCATTGTAAAGGATAAATGGTCATCATCAGAGACTGGAGAGAGAACTGGAGAGTCTGAGTTCAGATCCAGAGCATCCATGTAAAAACTGTCCCAGTGCAGAGGGACAGAGGTTGGTGGATCCCAAGGGCTTGACAGCCAGCCAGTCTGGCCAAATCAGTGAGCTCCAACTTCAGTGAGAGACCCTTCCTCAGGGAGTATGGTGGAGCACTATTGAGGAAGACAATGAACATCAAACTGTGACCTGTATAAGCACACACAAACACAGCATCACACACACAAGGTTATCAATACCTTTGAAGATCAAATACAAAAAACTTGATAACTCAATCTTGGAGGGGAAAGGTTGCAGAGAATTAAAAAATGGCATGTCTAGGAAATGACGGAGCTGCCAAGTATGGATTCAGGAAATTTGGCAGTACAAAGAAACAAGAGGCAAGGGGCAGATTAGCCAGAATTGCTGAACGTGTTGCTGTCCCTTCCTTACCCCAGTGGGTTGACCTGTTTGAGTGTCAGACATACCAAAGGAGGGGTGAGTCAGATCGGAAACATGCTTAACTCGGAGGGAGGGCTATTTTATTCATATAAAACTTGAAAGGATGGATGGGGGAATATGTGAATTTAATACAGAATACACTTTACTGGCTGAGATTTCATTTTTCTTTGTATTGGGAAAGCAGAAAGCCAGAAGCTTGAGTAACATGGAGACTTGGCCCTGGCTTTGAGGGATAATTAACAGGAGATTTAGAGTATGGCCAGTGGTCCAGGCAAGTAAAGTTCATTAGCATAAAGTGCTTCTCTACACAACCTTGTTGCATCTGACAGCTGTGTTGTCAGGCAATGAAATAAGACTATTCTTAAGTCATTCAGGTTACGATCATCTGGTTCTTTTCTAATTTTTATGCAAGAGAATGAATGGTAAAATTGCATGCGTTTTTGTTTTTTGCTATTTTCTTTTGTTTCTGTTTGTTACATTTCAGTGATCCATTTCTCTCCCTGCATAATCAGGAGAGCTGTTCTTTTCCCCTCCATTACCTATCATTCTTTTCCTTCCTCCGTTTCCACAGCATGCTATCTCTCTGAGCTGTCCCAGTAAGCAGGCCAAGCAGCACTCAGACTTCACGGAAGAGCAGGCTGAGCTGACTCCTGTAAGTTCTGTAAGCGCGGTGTGGGGCTGTTTAAATATCAACGAAGAAAAACAGATTCATAGAATTCCAGATGTTTATGTCTGATCATATAATAACGTCAGCTTTTTTGTTTTAATAAACTTAATTATTTAAAAAGACTTGTAAATTAAAAAAAAATTCTACACCAAAATTAACCAGACCCAAAGTCTGTACAACTCAGTGAATTTCCATACAGTTAGAGTAGGCATTTGGAATAAAGCTGTGTAGCTGCACATTAGATTTCCTGCTTTCATTATATATATATATTGAATATATTCAGTATATTCATATACAATATATATATATTGTATATATAATATACACTTACCTGCCACCAAACAAAACGATCTGAACAGACTGAACTAGAGAAACAAGTAGCTTTATATCCTTTTTCATAATTCATGTCCATTAACTGCATTCAGTCCATCCCTAAAGTATAGCCTTTTGTCTTCTTCATATTATACTGTACCTATGTGTGCATTTGTTTATCTATATACATATATTATTGGCTGGATTCTGCATATGAGAGTGAACATGCAAATATTTTTCTTTCGGAGATTATATGACCTCAATATTATGCATTCTGAGTCCATCCATTTTCCTGCAACATCTTTTTCTGGGAGCAAATATACATATCCCTCAGTAGGAGTCACAGAGGTTAAGACAGCCTGTAGGAAAAATTGTGTTCTTACTCCTAAGAACACGAAGGAAGAGTCTAAAGCACGTGTTACAGACCCTGCATGGTGTGTAACTGTAAATACCGACACCCACAATGGCTGTATTCACACCACTCCCACTACCGTCCCCTCCAGCATTTGTTGTCAGATTTGTTATTGACAGACATTTTGATGAGGGTGAGGTGACATCTTAAAGTACGTTTGCTTGTTGTCTGTGTTTTTCAAGATAGGGTTTCTTTGTGTAGCCCTGTCTGTTCTAGAACTCACTCTGTGGACCAAATTGGCCTTGAACTCACAGAGATCCTCCTGCCTCTGCCTCCTGAGGGCTGAGGTAAAAGGTGTGACCACCACCACCAGGCTTCAGAGTAGTTTTGATTTGCATTTCCCTGAGGGCGAAGGATTTTCAACACTTTTTAAAGATAATTATTGGCCATCTGTATTTTCTTTTTTTGAAAATTGTCTTTTCAGTTAATTTGCCCATTTGCTGATTGACAGTTTTATTTCTGTGGTATTTAATTTCTGCAGTCTTTGTAAGTTCTGGCTACCAGCCCCTTGTGTGAAGTGTAGCTGGTAGAGGTTTTTCCCCATTGTATGCGCTTTCTGTTAACAATTGCTGACTGTGTTCTTTGCTAGAGAGAAACTTTTTGTTCTTATGTAGTCCCATCTGTTGATACTGGGGTTAGTTACTGTGCTGGTAGTATAATTTTAAAAAGTTCTTGCCTACCCCAATATCTTGAAGGATATCACCTGTTTTCTTCTGAAGTTTTCACTGTTTTAAGCTTTAAATTAAGGTCTTTGATCCATTTTGGATGGTTTTTGTTTTGTACAGTGTGAAGGATAGAAACATAATTCTTCTGCAGGTAGAAACCCAATTTTGCTAGCACTGTTTGTTGATTTTTCAAATAAAAATTAAATCAGATTTAAAAGAAAGTGAGCAAAGCCTGATAATCACCTTTATGATATATGATGTTGAATGGTAACACTCAAGGTAGACCACCTGATGTGAGGGATTTTTGTATTGGAATCACTGTAAAATTCTGACTCTAAGGGCTTTCATCGGCATCTGTAGGCCTAACCGTTAGCAGTTCTCCAGGGTGAGCCATACACTGTCTCTCCTGCATCAGTCTGTAACTAAATACCTAGTTTCTCCAAAATGTATTCTGTGACTGGTGGTGGTTTTTACCGAGCAGTAGTTCTCAATCTTTTTAACCCCAGCAGCCCTTTTTAAAATAACAAGTAATTTGTAGCACCATTTTACAACCCCTAACAGAACTCATAGTTAACATAATTTTACCTATATCCCTAAGATGTAAAAGAATATAATGCCTTAACGCTGGGGATGAAGAAAAGTAAACGCAAATAATTTATAATGAAAACATTTAATACATAAATGTTCGGCTGACACCATTAAAGGATGCAAGATAATGTGTTGTAAGAGACGATTAATATTTACTATTGGTTTATCTTCTAGTAAAATGCTGCTGTTAATCCTCAGCAGCTGTATAACCAAATCACCACACAGAGACTGGGTTTTTAGTTAACCTAGAACACAATATTTACTGGGCAATATTTACTCCCTCCTAAACCTCCAAGCCTTCAGTTTCCTAACTTTTAGATTTCCCATATTATACTTGCTTTTTGTGAAATCTTAGATCTGGTTCATGCTCCATGTCCTCCAAGATCTCTCCTCCAGCTCTGCTCTCCTAGCTCCCCTCTTGCCCCTTCTCCTCCCATTCATCTCCTGCCTTCTGGCTCCTCCCCTCTTTCCTGTCCTCTGGCTCCTCCCTGCTCAACATTGTGTCTAGTTGCTTTATTTAATCCTGTTTACACAAGAGTTGAGACAGGATGCTTAGAATGAGTATCACAATGCAATATCCGGATTGAAACCAGAGAGTTCGGGGTGGTGGGGGAGAAATCGGCATTTGAATGAACAAGGGTAAGGTGTATACATTTAAAAAAAAACACACATTATACCAACAATAATGAAAATCTACCGGTTCTTAATGTAAAGTTCTCATTGAAGTGATCCCATAGTGCATTTGTTTAAAAATACCTAAAACAGAAAGAGTAGAGTATGAGTGGCTCCCAGAATTAAAGTGTGCTGGGATAGATAGGGCATGTTTGTGGACGGAGAAGGAAAACGGGGAGGTGTCCTTAACTGAGGTGGGGCGCTAAGACAGTTAAAGTCACAGGAGGGACAGTGGAGACTACAGAATTCTGAGTTCTTGCTGCCTTAGCAATACTGAGTGCTTGGATTATAAGTGTCCTCCATCATCTGGCTCAAGATAAGTTTCTAGCTATAGTTACACTGTTAAGTCATTTGCAGTTTGAAACGAAAGGGTTAGTAAGAAACAATTTTTGATATTTGATTTTATAAAACATATATTTTTCAAACAGTGTATACTAATGAAGCTCAGTGAAAGTCCTGCATTTCATATTTTTACTAGTATAGCATTTACTTCTTAATTTTGTTCAAAGGAATTTAGATCTCAGTGTATCTGTCACTGCTAGTTGTGATCCTGGCAGCTCTTACTTCAAGCTGGGTTTCCATTAGTAATGGTTCCATCATTATAAACAGTTTTTTATAAGTTTTAAGCAAAAGAAACCATGGAGGGGTAGGGGCAACACAGGTAAGAGGGAAGGTGAATATAAGCAAAATACCATGTTTGTATGCACAAAAGTTAATCAAGTTCATTATATTTGATATTAAACATAATAAAAAGTATAGAATTTTCTCAATCTATTTCATAAGATAAAATGTTCCAGAATTCATTGAAACAATATTATACAAAATTACTTTGTGTTTATATGTAAAATATACAAGATTTTCATGTATATGATTTTCCATGTAAGGACATAGATGTCTTGGGGGATGGGATCTGCACTTTTATGTGATGTTGTGTCATGCTTTAGACATCTGGCACGTTTGACTTTCTTCTCAGTAAGTGTTATTAACCCTTTTTTTGTCTTTATTGTAAATCCCAAAACACCCTCACCATTTTTCTGAGATGCCAAATTAAAGACAGTACTACTCTCTGAGAACTATTGATCTCAAATATTTATTTTCTTATTTCCTCTACTCATCCTACCCTTTTCAGCCTTGTCCTCATCCTCCAAGACTATACACATTTTCTGGATTACCTTAAGCCCCTAATTTTGGGTTAGGCACTCACTCTCCTGCTCCTCCCTGCCATGCCACCTAATAAACGTCATTATAGCCATCAGTGGGAAATACAGAAGGATATCAGGGAGTTACAGACCAGGTAGTGCAGGGAGAACAAGGGCTAAGGTATTGTTCATAGACAAGGCAGCAGTGTGTGGCTGCCTTTTTCCAGGCTTGAAGTTAGATGGCAGAATAGAGCATAAATGGAAAGGGAAAACACATAGGCCTTGACTTCTGGTTTCTCTGTTAAAACGTCTCTGTGGCCATGTGTGCCACAGTGTGCATATGGAGTTCAGAAGACACTTTTGTGAAGTTGGTTCTTTCCTTCCACCTTTACACGGGTTCTAGGGATCAGATTCACGTGTCAGGCTTCCACAAGGGCCGCGCCATCTCGCTGACCACAGTGTGTTTTTGTTAACTAGCAGCCAACCAAGACATCTTGACTGTTAACTGCACATTTCTTTTCTCACTCCCTTTACATCTTTCTTCGGTGAGAAGGAAGGTTCATTCCTGTTCTTCTGAAAGCAAGGAGTTAAGGAGCAGTGTGTGGCTGACTGATCCCAAAGAGAGGGAGAGAAGTAATGTAGGTGTTTATTTAAAGGGGATACTGTTTCTCGATGTCATGCCTCCTGTTACACACTTAGTGTAAATAGAAGGAACGTGGATCTGCCTTCCCCTAAAAGGCCCTGACATTCTGCTTTTCTAGTGAACTACATCCTGTTCTTCAGGAAAAATTTCAACCCAAATAATTATTTTACTTTTAGAGTATTGCCCAATAGCAAAGTGCACTAGAGTAGTATTTTCATAAGACATTTTTTTTTATTATTTATAGTAATAAGTAAAAATCATTATGATACTTACTATATTTCTGGATCTGTTCCTCTTGCCCCGAGATCCAAACGATAACTTTTTGTGAGTGTTTTGTCTGCATATATGTCTATGTACCACATGCATGTCTGGTGCTTGTGGAGGCTTAGAAAAGGCATCCGTTCCCCTGGGACTGGAGTTACAGACAGTTGTGAGCCACCACATGGGTGCTGGATATCAAACCTGGGTCCTCCTGAAGAGCAGCCAGTGCTCTCAACCACTGAATCATCTCTCTAATCCCCATGTATTTTTTTAAAAAAATGCCACCACACTTGTGAAGAGATCAAAGGAAAACTTTGGGAAATTGGTTCACCCTTCCGAGATGTTTTGGGATAGGCCTCTCCTATTATTTGTGCTGTGTGCTATCTGTATTCCAGGAAATTCCCTTGCCCATGAAAATCTTGCCATAGGAGTGCTGGAATTACAAATGGCACCACCACATCTAGCCTTGTGCATGGGTGTCAGGGACTGAGCTTACGTTATGTATGTGCACAGCAAGCACTTCCACCTTCTGAGCCAGCTGTTCCCCTGGCTCTGTTTCTTAAACAACAACCAAATATTTTCTGAAAACCAGGAGCTAAAATGTTTATAATTTCTACATTAAGTATATATTGTAAGACTTTTTAAAAGATTATTTTAGAATTGATATCTAGAATTGTGTTTTACCAAGTCATAGCTTTTGTGGATGGCATGAGGCAAATTTCATATTTTTGTTTTTGTTTTGTTGGAGTTGTTTCTAGAGACAGGGTTTCTCTGTATAGCCCAACTCTTCTGGAATTTATTCTAGACCAGGCTGGCCTTGAACTCAGAGATCTGCCCGTCTCTGCCTCCTGGGTGCTGGGATTAAAGGCATGTGCTACCTTCACCCAGTGCAAATTTCATTTTTTAAAACTTGAAATGCAAGGCCAGCAAGGTGGCTCAGCAGTTAAAGGCATTAGTCACCAAGCTCTGTGGCCTGGGTATGGTCCCTCCCCACCAGGGCTCAGTGGTGGACAGAGAGAATTGAATATTGATATTCCACTGTTTGGGGCTCTTTCTGGAACAGTAACCTTTGTAAGATAAATTGTGATAAGTTTTCAAGAAACTCTTTTCTTGGGCTGGAAAGATGGTTCAGGGGACTAAAGCCAGACAAAACAAAACAAAACACTTCTTTTGTAGGTATGAGACTAGAGTTTGGATCCCCAGAACCCAAGTGGCCATGGTAGCCCGCCTGCAGCCCCAGCCAAAGATTACAGAGAACATTAGGTAGCTTAGACTAGCTAAATCAGTGAGAAACCCTGCTTCCTCAAACAAGGTGAGAACAATGGAGAAGGACACCAACAACAACTTCTGGCCTCTCCAGGTATACACACACACACACACACACACACATACACATACCCACACGTGGAGATACAGGCTCATATCACACACAGCTTACTTTCTTCAAATTCATGCTTTGTCTTTTGAGAGTATTTTTTTTTCATGTGTAAATGACAAAAACGAGTGGTTGAAAGCAGTTAAAGTTATAGCTGATTTTTGTTGTGTTGTGTTTTTTGTTTCTTGAGACAAGGTTCCTCTGTGTAGCCTCGGGTGTTCTGGACTTGCTTTGTAGATCAGGCTGGCCTCGAACTCACAAAGATGTGCCTGCCCCTTCCTCCTGCTGGGAGTACAGGTGTGCGCTACCATGCCTGGCTTATAGCTGATATCTTTAAATTTTGCTTTTTAGTCTTTATACTTATTTTTTTCCCTCTGATCTGGGCTGAGCAGTAACCTTAAACTAAATTGAGTTTTCAGAAACTTCTGCCTACCTACTGTTTTATGGTTGAGATAACCAGTCTTTATCTTTGGGAGGACTGTAACGTATAGGTAAGTGAGGGGCTGAGAATAGTTTCTTAGTTCTTAATGTTTGGCCTTTTTAGCGGTGATCATGAGGAAACCCCTCCACTCACACCATTAGGTTTCTTTTTGTTGTTTTGGGGGACATGGGTGAGAGGGGCCAGTAATATGGGCTCATCTTGAACTAAAACTAGCTTTAGCCATATAAACAGGTGTTCTAGAACAGACTCAACACAGGGGAGATCCGCGCTAAGTTTAAGTTAGTGTCTTTGTAACAGTGCTTCCAGTCTTAACGTGCTATGCTGCGTCATCTCTATGGACTTTTGAAGGTGTCTACAGGTCTTGTGTCTATCCATTGGATTTTATTTCCAAAGAACTTGTTAAAATAATTTGGTATAGATTTATAAAATACAACCTATGGAACACTTTTTGTGTTAGTACCTTTCATTGCTTTCAATGGCAAAAGTAACTACCTGATATGAAATACTAATTCAGATTTGTTAAGGGACAGGCAAGTTCAAATGATGCACATATCAAAGTAGTTGACGTTTAAGGATAAATATATATGGTTACATACGCTTGCATTACAGTGTGTTATTTAAGTTATCAAGAGGGCCTTGAGAGGCAGAACACTTGCTAAGAGAGTGGACTGCTCCTCCAGAGGACCTGAGTCCAGGTCCCAGTGCCCACCCTCAGTGGCCTATATGTACACACAGACATGCACTTTAAAATAAAATGGAGTGCTCTTCAAGTCACTAAGAATATATAAATGGTAGCTAAGGACTATGTGATTTGCATCATTACTAGGGAGAGATATTTAATCACTTCAAGGAGAAAATATTCAGTGTTTGTTTTCTGTGAAAGTCCCTCACTGTATAACACTATCCTGTAATGAATGAATTAATAAAATTTTACTGGAAACAAAATGTCAGTCAAAACACATATTGGTGTTTTTTCTCTTGGTGTGGCTTTCATTGACTTGATGAGAAACAGGTGCCAGTTGTTAAAATGTTTGTGTTCTAAACAATACACTGCTTAAATCTCTGCAATCTTATGGATGTTTAATAGGAACTATACTTAGTCATTGGCCTTTGACACAGTTTTATCTGTGCCTTGTGCATGCATTCTTGACCCCTGGCTTGTAAGCCAGTCTGGTTTTATGGTGTTGATGTGTTACTCAGAGCCAGAATTCAGCAGGTCACCTGGACAGACCCATGGGTGTGGATGGGGTCTTTACTTCTCACCTTCATTTCTACTGCTGCTGTTCGTTTGGTTTTAAGATATTTTTCCTTGATGAATCCACTCAGTTTACAAAAATAGATGTGAAATTACGTAGAGTCATTCTTACTCTGTTTTATTTTAAAACACAGAAAGCCTCCACTGACTTCACTTACTGCCTTCTTTGTTTTTCTCTCTCTCTGCACAAGCACTGCTATCTGGACAGGGAAACATCCCTTCTTCTGAGAAACATTGCAGGAAAGCCTTCTCATTTGCTGACCAAGGTGACGCCACCGTTCTCCATGTGCATGTAACTATTTACTGCCCTGCAGATGGCATATAATCTCTGTGTGCGGCTGCATTCTCCGTCTTCCTTTCCTATTGTAGCACCATTGTCTTTAATACAGGGTGCTATTTCTCTTGCTGAAAGTAACTGTCTTCTTAATCTAAGGACGTTAATGTTCACAGCCAAAAATGTGTTCAGCAGTTTTCACTTGTTTTTAACTTCTGCAGATGTTTAGTGTTCTTTCAAGTATGTTGCACTTTTTCTAGTTTAATTTTCTATCGCATTTCAAAGTCTAATATCGCTGCTTTAATTTAACTTTTGCTATTGATGGCTTTACGGTATGAGTTTCTTTTGCAAGCTTTACAGTCCTTGATCACATTATTACTTCTGGTTTAATTTCAGCATTTATTTACATAGACAGAATTTTGATTTGTATTAACTTAGCCTTACTGAGAAGAAATGATCACAATTTGAATTTCTCAGTGTTCTACCCTCAGTTTGATTCAGTTCAGCTGGATTTTGTTGGGGTGCTATTTTATAACAAAATCTCTTATCAATTCTCATTATTAACTTGGTAACAATAACAAGGAGCTGAATGGTTGTTTTCTTAATCATTGTCTTAATCATTATCTTATTTAAGTAGCACAATGTTAAGTTCAAGAATGCCAGACTTGGCTTACAGTTTCTGATGAATAAACAATTTAGAAGTCATGTATGTTATTAAATCTGAAAGGGTTTTTCTTCTTTCACTTATTCACACCATAAACTTAGGAGAGAAGGTAACTGACTAAAACCAAATCCAAGAAGCAGCTCGAAGAAAAAGAGCCCTTCACCGAGTGAGCAGTGAGGCCGCGCATGTCCTAACTCGAGAGAGAGACAAGCCTCATAGCCCAACTAGGATCTGTTCCAGAAGAGAGTGCAAGCTCTGGCCACACGCATTGTCTCTGTCTCTCCTTGTCCCCTGCATTTCCAGATGGTTGATAGCTGCTAGGGTTTTCTGGATATTATCAGCAGCTTCTTAGACTTCAATCCTGCAGAATCCCTCCCCCGTCTTTGCCCTGGGGCCCCACAACAGAGATACATTTTCTTTTTCTACTTAGGGTACTGCCATTCTCCGAGTGACACAGGTTGATCATTGATCATTTGTCACTCTGCGTCCCCATCACTGTCTCGGATCTGTAATGAGCCTGTGGTAATCCTCAGATTGTACTAGGTTTCCCGTCTGTTTCATTCTCATTGCCTCCACCATAAGAACAGTCTCTCAGCACTTAAACGCACACTGCAGTTTCCTCTGACTTTGTCCCTCACCTGTTCTTACACTGTTCCCAGACTGAGTTTAACATCTTACCACTTGTCTTGCCTATTTGTCTGATAATCGTAGTGATCCTTGCACTTTGAGGGACACTAGTTAGTGTACAACACTGTCAAATGGACATATTTCTTACACTTAGGGAGCACACAGTCTTATGATAAAATAGCCAGGCACTGTGGTACACACCTGTGACCTAGATGAAGGCAAGTAGATCAGGAGTTCAGGGCTATCCTCAGCTATACAATGAATTGGACCAGCCTGGAACGATAAGAGATCCTGTCCTCAAAAAATAAAATTAATTAAATTAAGATTCTATATATAAATATATACACACATATACATATATATGTATCTGTATATACAAATATGTAAAAAAGTCTAATTTTGCAAGTATGTGCACCTCTGATATGCCATTCTGTAGCGCAATCTGGCTCTCTACCATAAGCCTGGTATCCCAGTTCCCAACCTCCAGGTGTCTGCCAGTGTTTTAAGAACCATGCTCTAAGGGCTGAGGGATGGCTCAGAGGTTAAGAGCACTGGCTGCTCTTCTAGAAGTCCTGAGTTCTATTCCCAGCAACCACATGGTGGCTCACAGCTATCTGTAAACGGATCCGATGCCCTCTTCTGGCCTGCAGGTGTACATGCAGACAGAGCCCTCAGACATTAAACAAAATACATAAAAACCATTCTGTGGGGCTGGAGGGATGGCTCAGTGGTTAAGATCACTGACTGCTCTTCCAGAGTACGCAGTTTTAAATCCCAGCACCCACACGGCACCTCCCAACTGTCTGTAGCTCCAAGATCTGTAACTCACAGACATGCAGGCAAAATGCTAATACACATAAAATTAAAAAATAATAATAAAAAACAAACCGGGCTGTAGTAACCATCGTTTTCTTTGCCTCAGAAAAGATGCTACACTGTTTTTACATTATATCTTTAACAAGCAGTTTTATTTATTGGTACCCCAAAAGCTAAGGGTATAAGCTATTAAGGACACTACAAACCGAGATTCTGGTATAGCAAATGTGCAGCTAAACATTTAGTAAGTATGTGTGATCTTAGGAAGACAGTAGATTTTTTGAGTCTTAGTTGGTGCTGTGGCTATAATTATCATACAAGCCTTGTATTTTTGGAGGAATTTAAATTAGATATCATACACAACATAACTTGTAGTTCAGCAAGTAGTTTTAGATAATTAATGTTAGTTCTCTTAATGAGAGTTTAATTTCATGACTTCTTCACAGAAATAGTTAACTAAAATTACTCTGATTCTAGGCCGCATTATACAGTAGAGAATCCAGTGAATATTAAATTACCACTTTAAATTCTCTTTGAATTAATTTGTTACTTTTTTATTTTGCAGTATATGAAATGATTTCAGAGAAATTGCACCTTAATTTCATTGTTTTGAACCTGTAGTCTTAGTTTCTCACTTGAAGTCAGTTGCTGTCTATCTGTCAGCAACTGTAACTGCCCAAATAATGATACTCTGATGTTTATACCCCAGAGAATGTTGTTGCCCAGAATTGGCTTTCATTTAATCATAAGATCTTTACCCAGTGTTTGTCCTTTGTGCAAATTTGAGGAGGGTTGGCATTTGATCGTTATTGATAGCCACACAGCAGTTTTTCAGTAGAAAATGGGTTGTCTCTTGCTCTTTTAAGAAAAGAAGTAGGAGAGAGAGTTGTTTTTCTATGAGCAAGGTGTCTCTTGCTATGTTTAGGATAGTCATGAGACAGCGAGAAGAAAGGGCTAGTCAAAACAATACATGCAGAAGACTGACGGTCTGAGCCGCTCAGCACAACATCTGATGAAGGAAGCTCTGTCTTGGCATTAGTGACATGTTAGCACTGCTAAATAAGCTGAGGAAGTCTTCCATAGGTCAGACACATCGACACAGACTCAGTGATCTGTCTCCTATCTGCAAACACAAAGAATTTACGATGGTTTCCTTTCTTCAGCACTGCCATGGTTGCAAAGCAAGGTCAGTTTTAACTAGAAAATATAAGTAGCACTCACAGAGGACCAGCGTGAGACTCGCAGAGACACGGATTCATGCAATTGGATTATTTTTATTTACAGCTTTGTTCAGTAATGATATTCAGATCTCACGCTAACTAGTTTTGTTTCTTCAAAGAGTTTCTAGAACAGTTATCCTTGTAGTAAACTAGAGAAGAATAAACTAAAATTCATGTATTTTGAAACAAAACAGCTGGCTCTTAAATTTGGTACTCTCTTTCATAGACCAATTTATAAGGACCAGAGATGTAGCCCAATAGTAGGTGCTTATTATATGCAGGGCCCTGAAAACAATTTTTAAAAGGAAACTATATTAACCAATTTCTGTGGCTCAAAGAAAGGCTTGATTTTGTGTTAGGAGAGCATTACCTAGCTGTTCTGATTTAAAATATGACTCCTTATCGGTGTGTAAGAAGTGTAATTGATTAAATGTATGTTAATTGGCTACTCAGTTCTCTTATTGTTTAATACTTGCAAGGTGTGGAGCAGGAACTGATCTATGAATGTAATTAAGCTAAACCTGTCATTGAATTTGACAAACTAAATTTTACTAAAGTAAAATGACAGCATGAAAACACTATTATTGCATTTATGGCTAACCAAAGTACAGTATTTAATTGCTTCTCCTTATATATTCTTACAGCAATTTTGGGTTCTGACATGATGATCTGCACCATCTATTATACTGTGAAAGGCAGTAGTTTCAATGCCGTGAAAGGCCTCTACAATCTGACTAATAATGCCTCTGATAAATTATTTTATTTGTTAATGTGTTTACAATCCCTTTGTACCCTTTGTTTGATAGCTTTTCTTTTCTTTTCTTTTCTTTTTTAAGTGCTGAATAGTACTTAATTGCCAGGATACACATTTATTTCTCTGTTCACTTACTAGAGGAAATCTTTGTTGCTTCCAAGTTTGGATAACTGTGACTAAAGCATCTATAAGCATCCATGTGCAGGTTTTTTGTGGATAGATGTTGGCAGCTGATTTGAGTGAATGTGTAGAAGCGTGATTCTTGGATCATGCGGCAGTGGTCCATTTTGTAAGAATCAGCCAAATTGTCTTTCAGAGTGGCTTAGTAGTGAGCAACGGTTCTTACTGTTCTACATCTTCACCAGCATTTGTTGTTGGTGTCGCGGATTTGAGGCATAGTAAAGTATAGTATCTTGTTGATATAGCTTGTACTTCCCAGATGATAAGGACTATTGACCGTCTTTCCATATATGTATTTGCTGGAGAGATGACCCAGTGGTTCAGAGTTGCTGCTCTCCAGAGGACCCAGCTTCTATTCCCAGCACCCATATGGTGGGAATCCAGTGTCCTCTTCTGACCTCTGCAGGCACCACACACATGCGGTGTACATGCATGTATGAAGGCCAAACATCTGTGCCATTAAAATAAAGGCAAATTTATTTTTAAATACTTTATTTTTAAAAGTTCATGTTTGTATTTCAAATATATAAAGCATAGATTCCAATTCATTTTCTCCCAGTAGACTTTTAATTTACTTTTTAGAGACATAAATGAAACATTTTCTTTCTCTGCAGCAGCTATTCATTCCAATAGAAGGATGAGGCAAAGGTGAATTCTTTCTAGTAATTTTTATGAATTCAGTTACTTGATTGTTTAAAATATTTCAGATTCCTTTATAGAGTCTTACTAAATTTACCAAAATTGTGTATTATGTTTGGTGATTTACTTAATACTTATTTTGTTTCTCAATTCTAAAAAACTCCATTTTAGAAACAGTTATAACCTTATGACCTATTTTCCAAGAGAAAAAATCTTACATTAAAGTGTAATCTACATATTTTATGATGCCATTTGTTTGCAAAAAGGAAAGGACTGATTATAAGTATATCTATAATTGTACAAGAACTAAGTATTAATCCTTTTTATTGTTAAAAACAAAGTTCTTTGTTCTTTGACTGTTGGGCTTACAGATCCTGTTTCCAGGCCTTGGTTATTCTGTAATTCAGAGGCTCCATTCATTGAAAGGGATCCAATTTCTGGCACGCAAGCTTGCTGCCTTTCCTGCCCTGTGTCTCTGGTCCATGGGATAGTAACTTAAGCTTGTAAGCAGAGACAACACAATAGGAAATGGAAAGAGAAGAAAGCCATCAGAATTTTGGAGAATAGGAAAAAAAATCAGTAAATGAATTTAGCTTTTTTTTTTCCTTCCATGGAAATGTTAGCTTTTTATGAAAACTAACACATGGATTATGGGATTTTAGGCACAATCCAGATAAAGTTTGGCTAATATTAGATTTTCCTTTTTTTTTTTTAAGAAAACCATATTAAAGGATTGTAGAAGTTGGCAGTTATATAGATATTTTAATGTTTCATACTAAGAAATAGAAAATATTCTTTTTAAACAGAAGTTTACTTAAATGAGTTTTTTTAATTAGAAATTACAGCTACAGGGTTTACTATGGCCTGTGGCTGGAACTAAACAGTAAGTACTAGCGTCAGATATTGTATGCTATTAGAAAAGGACAACGCTTTATTTTTAGTTCTTTATGACTTCTACTAGTTTATAATTTTAGGTTTTCTGAAATAGAATTACTTACAATTGTATTATTTGTAAAGTTATATTTAGCATTAAAAAACACCTTATTGATAGATTAATAAATTTAAATTTACTGACATGATTGTGTTGCAGGATTTTCCAAATCAGTAAAACTTAAAAAAAATATAAGGCAGCCTCTTGTTTATATTAGCGTATTAATGAGAATTAATTTTATTTAGTACCTATACTTTTTGTTTGTTAAGGGTTTTATTTTATTACAAATAAGTAGATTGGTTTTGCTGTACATATTTTTACAATGATCTTAAATTTTCAACCTAACAAAACAGTGTGCAGAGAATCTTGCATAACTCTGGAGGGAGTCTGACTTCAGAGGGGTTTTGTGAGCGTAGTGAATAGTCAGGCGTGAGCTCCTTCTGCATCATGCTTCCGCAAACCCAGAGCCTGAAAGTCATTTGCTTCATGTTGACGGAGTAGAGCGTAAATCACAGGCTTCTTTCTTTGGCTCTGGAATATGGGTTCATCCTGTTACCGCACCTGTGCTGTCTTGTTACCAGTGTGTCTCCTGTTTGTGAACAGGGCTGTTTTTAAATGTGCTTTCTATAAGTGTGCAACATTATGTTCTTAATGAAATTCAGTAGCAGCTCCTAAGCCTGAAGCCTTCTCTGGTGTCTCCACTCTCTGAGCAGCAGTTTATCTGAAATGCTCTGTGTTTGCAGGAAGAGCAGGCAGCAAAGCTGAAAGCTGAGAAGATCAGAGTCGCCCTGGAGAAAATTAAAGAGGCTCAAGTGAAAAAGGTGATGTATGGCTCTTGGCTGGGTTTGAAATATTTATCCTTTTTTTTTTTTTTCCTGACTTGGTTTATGAAGAATTTTCTTGTTGATTATAATGTTTCTCTAATTTATGGAAAGGTAAAAATATATTCTTCCTAATTTCTTTTCATATGTGGGGTTTGTAGGTGAAATGCTTTATGAAAACAAGCCTTTGTTTCTAGCTGGTCCTGGAGCATTTAACTCAGGGCCCGTAGCTTGCAGCATATCTTATATCACTCTGATATTAGAAAGGTTTCTTGCTATTTTCAAAACAAAATCATTGAGACAGAATCATCTTGGCACAATAATCATTTTAAAGTACTTAAACTAATTTAGGTAGGTTTCTTGATATTCAGATTTTACCTGTAATAATAATTCCAGGAGTCATAATGTCTTAATTTATACTTAAATACATGGATCAGAGTGTTATGTAATATTGGAAAAATACTTTCCTAGATACTATTCTTTAAGTTCCCACTTAATTGCATTTTTACCCGTTGCAGCTGGTGATCAGGGTCCACATGTCTGACGACAGTTCTAAAACAATGATGGTGGATGAGAGACAGACAGTGAGACAAGTGCTGGACAGCCTGATGGACAAGTCCCACTGTGGCTACAGTCTAGACTGGTCGCTGGTGGAGACCATTTCCGAGCTACAGATGGGTAATGATTGCTTAATTGCTTGTTAGCTAAGTCTTTACCATGGATAGCCTGGAGAGTTCTTTGAATAAAAGATGAATTCCAGTTTACTTTGTATTTTAAAATGATTAAAGCAAAAATTTTAAATGATAACAAAATGCTTTTTCTTTGCAATAAGAGCTGCATAAGCTCATTTACTGAAAGTTATTATTAAAGGTTTTTGTTTTGCACTTATTTATTTTATGTGTCTGAATGCATGCATATGCATTGCGTGCGTGGAGAAGTCAGAAGAGGGTGTCAGGGCCTCTGGCACTGGAGCTACAGTGGTTGTGAGCTGCCTGGTGCTGGTGCTGAGAACTGAACCTGGATCCTCGGGACAGCAGCGCTCTCGGAGCTGGACTTCTTTCTCTCCAGCCCTGTGCTCTTAATTACTAGCTGTTAATTACTACAGGGGTCTTTCAGGGAAACAAAGCACATCAACAGATTTCAAAGAACACTTTTAACATGTTCGGTATTATTTCTGTGTGTGTGTGTGTTTTGTGTGACACAAACACCGCCACGACCCCAAACCCATGTTTAAGGAAAAAAAAAGCCCAGTCACAGAGTCATGCATCTGTAATTCCAGCATTGGGGAGATAGAGAGAGGGGGCCGGCAGGCTTGCTAGCGGGCAGCCGAATTGGTGGGTTTCGTGTGTGCTGAGCAACTGCTTCAAAATGTAAGGTAGAGAGCAACTGAGAACATTACCTCTGACTCTACACTCACAGATTCTATGACTCTAATGTGATTTATGTTGCCTTTCATGTAATTCTGATTTGGGGACAGAGAGAATCTTTGAAGACCACGAAAACTTGGTTGAAAATCTTCTTAATTGGACAAGAGACAGCCAAAACAAGCTTATATTCATGGAGCGTATAGAAAAATATGCACTTTTTAAAAACCCCCAGGTAAGACTGACAAACCTAAAGTCTGGCAGCCATGTGATTGGGTGTTGTAGCTACACACCCCTATGGGAGCATTCGATACTGCCAAGTTGGAAAGGAACTTGGGGGCCAGATGTTAGGCCTCAGAAAGTTTCCTAGTCCCACATGGGGGTGAACTTTGGAAGAAATATAAATAGTTCCAGGGGGTCACTAGGTTTCTTCTCTGTAAATACAGATTAACATTAATAATTGAGATTCTCATCTCACCAAAGCAGGCCAGGGGATTTTGAATGGCTAATTCTTATTTTAGTTTCTGTCATCTTTTATTACCCCAACATAATGCCTGGTTTAGTATGTCACAACCCCTGTGCCTTAAGTCTCCACCTTTCCCTCCCCGGCCTCACTGTTTCTCCACTTCTTCCCCAGTAGGTCAGGAAAAGCAAGGACTCTGCAGTAAACGCAGTGATCAGAAAAACAGGGGTAGTGTCAAAGACAGTCTTTATCCTTCAGACTTGACTTTGGTAGTTTAATGAAGAATATGCGCTAATGAGTGTCCATAGATCTTTCTGTAGAAGACTGAAAGAATAGTTACACTGACTACAGTTCAGATTTTAATTAAATCAAGCAAATGAGACTGTTACATCCACAGCAGAATTTGGGGTTTCCTCTTAAAAAGCCAGAGTATGAATCATCTGGAACAGCATGAACTATGCTGGCTTAGCGTATCTCAGGAATCTTTCCTTGTTCCTTCTACTTATTTATAATGCTTTGGGGTTTGTTGTTGTTGTTGTTTTTCTTTTTTTGTAACTAGTTACGTATTCCAGAAGCTGTTACATATATTGTCACCTGTCACCTCAGGCTTCAGAGGAGGGCAGTCTGTGGAATATTTCAGAGCAGGTGTTTGGGGCAGGATGGAGATGGATAGGAACATTTTAATGGTGGTGGGGGGGGGGGGGGGGGGGGGGGGGAGTGAAGGAGTACTGTCCTTCCTACACACTGGCAAAACTAAACTTACAGTGGCTTCTCTGGAGCAAATGGTGTATGCCTTTACTCCAAGAGAATCGTGGGATGAGTTTATCCTTTAATTTTCATTTCATTGTTTTTTGTTTTGTTTTTGTTTTTTGTTTTTTTAAGAATTATCTTCTAGGGAAGAAGGAAACAGCTGAGATGGCAGACAGAAACAAAGAAGTGCTGTTAGAGGTATGACTCTCCTCCCCTTCCTCACACAGTTTAAGATTGAAACGTTGAACATATTTGGAGGTCAGTACTCTGTGTATACCTGCTGAGCCCGACAGGCCTCTGGTAAGGTTTCTGCCAAGCAATATGCTAGTGCTTTAGAAGGAGAAATAGCCTTTTAGGGGTTGCCAGGTAGGATGAAGAGAAACGTGACTGCTGGTTATACCATCCTTTCCAGAGGGCAGGAGACGGCCCTGTCAGTAGGGCTTGCTGAGCAAGCATGAGGACCTGGCATGGGGCACGTCATAGCCCCTGCCATCTACCTAAAAGCTAGGCAGGGGAGTGTGCATCTGTAATCCTAGCAGACCCCTGGAACAAACTAGCTAGCCAGCCTAGCCACTGAGCTCTAGGTCCAGTGAGAGACCACGCCTCAGAAAACAAGCTGAAAGGCAGCTAAGGAAGACACCCGCCATCAGCCTCTGGCCTCCGCACGCCACAAACACACAGAGAAAAGAAAGGGAATTGGGTAGTGCTCCATGCAACTCAGTTGAGCTCCTAGGGAAATACTCTTTATTAGTCAGGACAGACATTTTGTATGCTGTGGCCTGTGTTGTGTATGCACATGAGCATGCGCCATCACACGTCCATATCTGCAGACACAGGGCTCCAGGAGAGGGTCAGGTTCTTCTCTCCCTCTCCCGTCTTCCCTGCTTCCCCGTGAACTGCAAGCGTTTCAGCAAGGCTGGCTCCCAGCAGGCACGTGCAGCCATCAGCTTTTTACAGGTGATGGGGTTCAAACTGTGAGGTTCATGCTTGCACAGCAGACACTCTTACCTACTGAGCCATTCCCCAGCCCCATGACTCACATTTTATTACCAAACACTTGCATGATTCTAAAGGAAATTCATACTGTGTTTAGAATAGAAGGTTCTTTCAGAAAGCTAGTGTGGTTTTAATACAAAACCGTTTTGCTTTGCTTACTGTTACGCATTTCATAGGAGTAAATAATTAATTTTTTGAAAATACAAGGATCATTAATCTTCCCAAATGATTATTTTTAAGGAATGTTTTTGTGGAAGTTCTGTAACTGTCCCAGAAATTGAAGGAGTCCTTTGGTTGAAAGACGATGGCAAGAAGTCCTGGAAAAAGCGTTATTTTCTATTGCGAGCCTCTGGCATCTACTATGTCCCTAAAGGAAAAGCAAAGGTCTGTCCCTTCTCTTTACTTCTGCACTCCCACATTATGCTAGCTGCTTTTCCTTCATAGTAAAAATGCTATTTTACCTCTGTCCAACACAAAGAAGATGGTTTCATTTTTTTAAATCTGCTGTAAAGAAGAGGAAGCTAAAAACTGTTTCTTCTGATCATTAGTTGGGTTCATCCCAATTATCTATCTTTTTTTTTTTTTTTTTTTTTCTGTTTAGATTTGCTGTTGTTTAGAAGGAATCTTGTTCGTGTAGTTTAGGCTGACCTCTAACTCACCAGGTAGCTTAGGATGACCTTGAACTCTTGATCCTCTTGACTCTCCCCTCTTCTACTTCACAAGTGCTGGGCTACAGGTATGCATCACCACATCCCGCTAAGCATAGTCTTGATATTTGGGGTGGGTAGAGGTCTTGCCAGAGTTGTGTGTATTTCATTTTGGAAGAATGGGTTTTTAGGATAACGACGACTTCAGTGTTGTATAATGAGTTTTTGCTGAGTTATTTGTGCTTATTTTGGGTTCAGAGCTATTCTAAGCATAGTCTCATCCTAGTCTTAGAAACTATGTAAGTTATTGTCTCTAGCTGCTGATGTGACTCCGAGTTGAGAATCTTGTGTTTGAGGTGCACGTGATAGCGATCCAGATACTTGGTAGATTCTTGTTCTTTGCTAAAATCGCTGCTGTTCTCTGCTACCTATTGTGTATCTATTATACATATATACTGTGTCTTTATACAGTACCAACATGTCTAAACAAATCAGTATTCATTAGGAATGGTAAGATGACAAAGTGGACTGCTTTTCTGGTTACATTGTAGACTGAGGAAAAATCTTACTTTCTGCCTAATAAAGCCTTGATTCTCAACTAAAACCCCTTAGCTGGTTTGATACTTACTGATTTGCACTGCCATGTTAATCTTGGGGTATTCTTTCTCAGGTGTCTCGGGATCTGGTGTGCTTTCTCCAGCTGGACCATGTGAATGTATACTATGGACAGGACTATAGGAACAAATACAAAGCACCCACAGACTGCTGTATGGCATTAAAGGTAACATAGCTCAGGGAACTGTAATCCGTATCAGGTACTGAAGACACTGGGGTCTTCACCAAGTATACTGTGTCTTTGGAAAAGGATAGGAGGACTGGGGTATCTCAGCCATTAAAGCATTTTAGCCCAATCCTGAGCTCCAGGGAGAACAACATAAAGTTTGGCCTGGCAGCTCACACCAAAAACCCTTGCACTTGGGAAGAAGAGACAGGATCCAGAGTTTGAAGCCAGACCCTGTCTTGAAAAAAAACATTTATGTGAGGCACATTTTTTGTTGTTTTCCTGAACTTTATTAGTAGACGCCTCAGAAGGCACTGTTCCCAAATTCAAAGTTCACCTGCTTTCATCTGGTCCAGAAATAGCTGTGTCTCTACCCTCCCCCTAAATTCCAGCCACAATGGTCTGTATCTATGCTGTTGGTAGGAACTTTTCTTCTCTCAGTCAGGTTTAAGTTTCTTACACTAATTGTGGCCGTACAGTAGAGAAGAGTGGGCATTTTTTATTTAGTGTTTTTAGTGATTTAAATTAGTGTTTATAAAGACAGCCTACAAAGAATCAGGAAGAATTACTGAAAGGGTTATGCTTTTTGGCTCCATCTTCGTGACCCTCAGTACCGCATAGGTCTACGTGTTTGTGTCGTGCTTTTTCTGCGAGAACTGTCATTTGGATTTAGGGAGCAGCATTTGTTTAGGATTTGGGGTAGGATTTTGATTTCTTTGTTGAGATGGGTTTATTATAATAACCGTCATTCACTCAATGAACTGTCTTACATGACACCAATGCCCCATCGAGGTTAGTTACAGAAGCAGGTTGGCTTGGTTTTTTAACTTGGCTTAAATTTTTTTTTCTTGTTCTCTCTTTTTTTTTTTTTTTTTTTTTTGAGCCTTTGTACATAGCCCAAGCTGGCTTCACACCTGGGCCCTCGTGCCTCAGCCTTCATAGTGCTGGGCTTACAGGTGTGTGTCAGCATGCCCTACAATAGCCAATAATTTTTAGAAGTTAATACAAAGTAACCTCAGCCAGTGGTTTGCAAAATAAAGTCCAAAGTCCCTTGGAAAACCCAAAGATCATAATGCCAACATTAGGTTTGTAATACTGAGAGATCACTGCCTTTCACACCTCATTCAGTATAGTATAGTGGAGTTTTCTCGAAGGTCCCATAATATTTTTGCCATCTTGGCTATTGAGAGGGATCTGGGAAGAGTTGTATTCTTCTATTTTAATTTTTTTCTCTCATTTTAATTTCTAATAAAGTAAATATTGCAGGGACATGACAAGCAGACTTCAACATTATACTCCTACAGAGTATTCCCGCAGCAGCCAGGTGTGGCCACAGACTTCTGTCCTGGGCGCTGTGCGCCTGCTGTAGTTGTTTACCACGAGGAAGGAACAGCCCCCTTGCAGCTTCCAAACCATCATTTCCTGGGCAGACATTCTTCCATTTTTCAGTCTTACAGCCTGAGAATTCTACTGACCTAATCTTGGTAGAGTTTTTCTTTGATATGTAAAAGAAATATTTGAGAACTTCCAAGACAGAAAGATTTACATGGACATCCTGACCTAAAATTTAACATGATACTGTACTTTTTTGTATGCATTGCATAATTGCACTTTATGGTAGTAGGAGAAGTCTGCACTGTTTTGCCATCTCTAAGACTGTAACATACAGGGTATGTTTAAGTCAGTTCCCTAGGAGACTTAGTTGGATTCTGCCTTTAATCTCACAGCACCCACAGATTCAAAAGAAGTCTCAGTATATCAAGTACCTTTGCTGTGATGATGTAAGGACTCTGCATCAGTGGGTCAACGGAATCCGAATCGCAAAGGTACGTTTCCTTTTCCTTTGATGCTGAAATAATGAAGTGGTTAGTGGGGTGCTGTGGGTTCTTGATGGTGAGTCTGCTTGTTCCGTGCTCATCATTCTGCTAGTGTCTAGTTTCCTCAGGCCTAAGTTCATGCCTTTTTTGGTGGCTGGGAACTGTGTTAGTTGTTAATGTCTGTGGAAAGGTACTGCTTATATGGCATCAAAGTGAGTCTTTCTACTTTGTAGGGTGCATTATGATTCTTATGTAAGAAAGTTTAGCCTAAGCAAAATGAGTTATTCTGTTATCTGCAGATCTCTCCAACCCCCAAATAAAATTCTAAATGAAGTTATGGTTATTTTTCAAGTATATTTGGAGCACTGTCCCTAAATAGTGCTAAGACTATCTAGCCTTAGATCTCTTGAATTTGGAATGATAAAACTTTTATTTGTTACAAAATCATTAAAATCGGTAGTTGGCTTCCTGCTGACTTACAACAGAGGAAAATTAGTATGAACATAACTAAGGACTATTTAGAACATTGCGGGTATTAATAAAAACTAGTACTCAGAAATGTTCCCTTCCCCATGTGCTTCCATATACAAGCTCAGGGCTAGATGTCACCATTTGTTCCCTTTTGCTTAGTATGGGAAGCAGCTCTACACAAATTACCAAGAAGCCTTGAAGAGGACAGAGTCAGCCTATGACTGGACCTCTCTATCCAGCTCTAGCATTAAATCCGGATCCAGTTCTTCCAGCATCCCAGGTGGGTCAGCATAGCACACTGCGCAGCTCTCCTCCAGTGTGACGGCCTTACCACGAGGGTTAGCAGGGCAGCGCCGCCATGCCTTACTTTCCAGGCTGCAGGAGTGGGTCCTTTCCTTCTCAGTGCAGGGCTACTGTGAAGGGTTTGAATGCACTGCTAACGCAGGGTTACATCTTACATTTATGAGAGTTTATTTTAAAACACATACTCTTAAGACATACGACATAAAATCTACCTGGAGATGTGCTCACACTCCATCAGGACACTACAGTCCTACTACACAGCTTTCCTGACATTTCAGTGCAATGGAAACACTTCCAGCTAGTTCAGAATTACAGGTAAGGAAGCCATTTAAGCTGTCACACTTTCCAGTATCCACAGGAAATCAGTGACACTCAAAGGAACTTCTAGATTTCCTCACCTTTTAAATAAGTGTGCTGTATGCATATCAGTTAAGTGCTTCTTTCAAAATCTCCCCTGAGTGATAATCCATGTCATGGTTTAACGACTTAAACTTGTGTGAAAAAAAATACATCTATATATTAACCTGTATGGATGTAATGTAAATAGCCCATGTAAGCACATATTTCTGGTTCTGTCCGTGGAAAGGCTTAGAAGTGATACTCTAGTATTGAGACCCACAGCCCAGTCATCAGAAGAAGGAACCAGTGATCTTGGACAAATGGCTGACTCCAAGGCTGTGACAGAGAATACACAAGATGAGCCTTAAGCAGAAATACTCAAAAATAGGAAAATGGTTTATCAGAGGGACACAGACACAGCTTGAAAGAGTGTCAGTGCCCAAAGCTGGAATAATGTTGAACAAAAGAAATAGACCAGGTGGTGTGGTTACATGCCTTTAACCCCAGCACTCAGGAGACAGAGCCAGGTGGATCTCCAGGTTTGAGGCCAGTCTAGGCTACATAGTGAGCTCGAGAACAGCCAGGACTACACAGAGAAACCATTTCAAACAAGACACACAAAACCCAACCAACCAAAACATCCCTCCAACAACAACAAAAAAATATGTACTATGTAGTATAAAACTATAACCAAGTTATAAGATACATCAGTGCGAACCCATACTAGTAGAAACAAATAAGTAAACAAACCTTCCCTACAAAATATTTTTTAAAAATTTAAATACATTTTAATTAAAATAAAAAACATCACCTTCTGTCCCTTCCCCAATTCCTTCTACACCTCCCCCAACTCTCAAATTGATAGCTTCTAGAAAATTATTTATTTATTATTATGTGTCTCCATGAGTTCCGTGTGCATGTACATGGAGGCCTGGGAGGGCCCTGACCCCTGCACAGACATCACAGCTCACGGCTGTGCGCTGGGGCAGAGCCCTGCAAGAACAGCGCATCCTCTCAAGCGGCACTGACATCTCTCTCCAGCCCCACAGAGTACTTCTAAATGACTTCCGTACACATTCGCCCGTCTCAAAGGGCTCGCAGAGTGAGTTACTTTAGAGGAGCAGGGTTGAGAAAGCAGTGATGTCTGTCACGGTGCAGAAACCAGGGGAGCAGCATGTAGCCACATAACTGGCGGCATGAACAGTGAGCCACAGTGGTTGCAGGCCCCTTAACACAGTGTGATGAGACTCAGCCAGTAGGCTTTTTTGTTGATGGTGATGGCTCTTACTTGTTCATAGTCGGTTTTTATCTAGGACAGGTTTCCAGGGCCCTAATGACTTGTGCCAGTCTCTCATGGTGATCTATTAAAAAAATTCAAGAATCAATTTTTGACTAACCCTAAGAGATAAGGTGTTTTTTTAGTAGAATATACTCACTGAATTTACAGTGACATGAGTAACTCTACATGGCGTTTAACCTTAACATTGAAAATGTGCATTTATCATATAATCGAAATGATATCTGATCAATTGTTCTAATACTTTAAACAGAGTCTCAGTCAAATCACTCTAACCAGTCTGACAGTGGGGTTTCTGACACCCTGCCAACAGGACACATCCGCTCCCAAAGCACCGTGAGCTCCATCTTCTCTGAAGCCTGGAAGCGAGGCACTCAGTTGGAAGAGTCCAGCAAGGTAACACACTAGTTTTAATTTGCATAGAAAAATCTGTGGTCGTCCAGTGTTTTTTTAGCTTGTGCTTTTCTTCTTTCATTAGAGTCTCATTTGGCACTATTTCAGTCTTCTTTCTTAGATTTTTAATCTTCTTAATTACAATAGGGAAACCATTTTAGAGTTGTCTGTAGTGCCTAGTGCCCTAAGATCTTAGTTTTTAGTGGCAGTAGACTCTTTAGTCAGAGGCGAATCTTTAAACTGTAACAACCTCCCTCTTGCTTTCAACTGGAACCAGTTTGATGCAGCAACACCATGTAGTGCCATTGCCCTGAAGTCCCAGAGAAGCATCTTACAACTCGTTAATTTTAATTAAATTTAACTTAATTAATTCAGATTCATTCCTTATCTGTCAGTCTTGAGGCATGTCTCTAGGCATCAATAAATTTTCTCAAACTTTCTTAAAATTTTGAATCCCTGAATCTTGCATAATATTCAGTAACACTGAAGAATGATTATCATTATTGCAGGCAATAATGTTTTATATATATGTTGAGAATTTCAAACACAGTATACAGTATATTTTGATCATATTCATATTCCCCCGCTCCTCCCCATCCACTTCACCTCCCAGTTTCGTGTCCTTTTTTTTCTTTCAATAATCCACTGAGTCCAGTTTGTGGTGCTGATCCACAGAGGGGGCTGTCCACTGGAATAGGGTCTCCTTCCAGAAGCCACACCGTTAGACAGCTGGCTCTGCACCTTCCAGAAGCCATCAACTGCTCCTTAGTGAAGGGTGGGGCTCGTGAATCCCCTCCCACTCCACACACTGCCTGGCTTGCTTTGTGTGGCATCACAGTTACGCTCACCAATACAATGCTTCTGTCGTGTTCTGAAGACACTATTTCACCTGGGTCCTCTCCAATTAAAATTTTTTCTTCTTCCCCTTTCATAATCATCCCTGAACCTTGAGGAGAGGAGGTATAATATATATATATATATGTCCCATTAGCTGAGCACACCAGTCACTCATTCTCTAAAGTTAATCTGTTGTGAGATTCTGCACTAACCACTGTCTGCTGCACAAAGGAACTTCACTGCTAAGACCCCACAGGTGTTTTTAGTACAGTTGAAGACATGATAGTCTATCAGATAGGCTTGGAACTCCTGTAGGAAAAGCTGTGTCCTGGCTGTAGTTCCCACTCAGGTGAGGAAGGCCATGTGCATCATTGAGGAACCAGTGGTGCCTCTGCCAAGACTATTTTGCTTTTTACACAGTCATCATTTTGACTTTTTTGTTCTTTTGGTCTGAGTCATAAATATAAGCACATTCACAAATGAGAATAAAAAGGGAAATTTAAATTTGTCCTTAAAACAAATATTACATCATTTTTATAATGTGGTTGATTAACTGGGATGAGGGTACAAGGAGCTGTCAATAGTTGGTTTTAGGCCGGTGGTGCACGCCTTTAGTACCAGCACTCCAGAGGCAGGCAGATCTCTGTGACTTCAAGCTCAGCCTGGTCCACAGAGTGAGTTCAAGGACAGCCAGGACTACACAGAGAAACCCTGTCTTGAACAACAAACAAAAATGATTGGTTTCAATGACCTAAATTCTTTAAACACAGTTAAACTCCATTATCAAAAACTTTTATGAATTCTCTCTTCCACCCTAGAATCTTTTTCCCCAAGTACTGGGGATTGAACCTAGGACCTTGCACATGCCAGGCAAACACTCTGCCACAGACTGCGTCCTAGTCTTTTTTGTTTTGAGACAGTCCATCACACTTAGTTTTCCTGGCCTGCCCTCAACACGTGTTCCTCCTGTTGTAGCCTTCAAAATAGGGCTGTGTCACCAGTTGGTTCCTTGTAAACTAACACTCCAAGCATATCCTAGAGACATTTGTCTAGGTCGTTTGAAATGTTGGAGGAAAATCTTTGCCTGGCTAGCTGCAGCCCAGTGGTAGAACAGCACTTGTGTAGCATGCACAGACTCCAGGTTGGATTTCCCACCACTGACAAACCAAAACAAACCCTACCTACAGATCATTAACGTGGGAACGAACCATGTGCATTTTAAACGATAAAGCTGCCTATTCACCACATGTAAATTCAAGGAAAACAAAGACCCAAATGCTATGTGATTAAGAAGCAAAGTCTGTCATTGTCGCTTCAGAAAGAGAATGAACCCTGCTCTGCAGTAATGCCAGCTTGTCTGAGTCTTGATCCTTCTGTGTTTCTTCTGTTACCTCAGTCTCAGGTGCCACAGGAGAAGGCCAGCACAGCTAAGGTCTGCATCCCTGAAGCAGCCAAGACAGGGTCAAGTTAAGGTCAGGGGTTGTTCTCTGAAAACACATTAACCTGAGTGACTCCTATAACCACAGCTTACAAACTAATGCTTTATTGTAATGTATAATCATAGAGAAACATGCGACCATCCTGTAAGCATTAGAATTGAGCTCTGTGAATGAACACTCCAGTTCGCTAACTCAAGTATCCTCAGTGCCATAACTGAAAACAGATAAGCTACCTCATTTCTTCAGTTGTTCAAAGAGCCGAAGAGGTGTTCCCAAGGTTACTAAGTCAAAAGTCCTTCTTGTCCTTATTTCAGAAGTCCTTGGGCCACAAATCATCCATGGCAACCAGGTGTAGTCACTTCAGCACTGCCAAAGTACTACCCAGATAGAGGGTGGACAGCTTACCAGCAGACCCTCAGCTCCTGCCTCCTGACAGTTTCCTTCAGCCTTACAGAGCTCTTACTTTCTTCTGGCTTTTTCTGTGTGGTGGTTTATCTTTTGCTCTAATGTTCACGAAGCATTCCTTTGTGTGTTTTCCAGTAAAGCAAATGTAAAAAGTGCTCCCCCTTACCTGCATTGCTCGGATTCTATGCATGTTGGATGCAAGGGTTACACATGAACACGAGTGTGTGTGTCAAGCTCATTCATTCCTGTGTGACTGTGCACGCCTGCTGAGCATTCTCATTTTCTGACGTGTCAGTTTACAAGACTCAAATAGCCGTCTCCACCGGCCTCCCAACCCAAGGATGCGTCCACTTGATGTGGATGTGCTCACGGACCAAAGGTGAACTACAAGCCCACAGGGCCTAGGCAGAGTTTGTAAGTCAGCCAAGGTCAGAAATCACACCCGTCACCACCCAAATGGCTCTGCAGGAACTTGTTCCCAGATTGTTACGCAGTGCAGCTGGTAAAAGAATATTGCAGGGTGAAACAGTATTTTGTGTCCTTCTTACCCAGGAAATCAGATTCTAACCTTCCTGACCTTGTCTACCTTTACAATCGCCAGTGCTGCACCCTCTTCATGCATGTCCTAAATTCCTTGCTTTTTAGTTTCATGGAGTCAAAGCTTACCTCTGTAACTTTTTTGTTGTGTTTTTCTCCCTCCCACTTCCCTTTTTATACTCCTTTTAGGCCAGAATGGAATCTATGAACCGCTCCTACACTTCACTTATGCCCCCTCTGTCCCCTCAAACTAAGGTTATCACCCCCTACACTGCCTCACAGCCCTCACCCCCCTTACCTCCTCCTCCACCCCCTCCGCCTCCTCCCCCGCCTCCCCCGCCCCCACCCCCTCCTCCTCTGCCCAGCCAGTCTGCACCTTCCGCAGGCTCAGCAGCCACTATGTTTGTCAAGTACAGCACAATCACCAGGCTGCAGAACGCAGCTCAGCATTCAGGGCCCCTGTTCAAGTCTCCACCACCAGCGACACAGCCTCTACCTTTGACTTCACAGTCCCTCAAGGCTCAAATTGTGGTGCCCCCTAATGGAGTTATTCCTCCACCCCCGCCACCTCCACCACCGCCAACCCCTGGTTCGGCCATGGCCCAGTTAAAGCCAGTGCCATGTGCCCCATCGCTGCCACAGTTCAGCCCCCAACCTCCTCCCCTGAAGATTCATCAGGTTCAGCATGCTCCTCAGGTGGCCCCTCCCACGCCCCCACCAGCTCCTCCCATCCCTGCAGCTGTCCCTCCTCAAGCACCCCCTAAGCCTCTGGTGACCATTCCTCCTTCAGCCAGCACCAAGACTGTGCCAATAGTGGCTCAAGCTGTACCACCTACCCCTGCACCTCCAGTGCCCCCCACAAAGAAACAGCCAGCTTTCCCTGGTTCTCACATTCCACCCTCCCCCCCCATCCAGCCTGCCCCATGTCCCCCACCGACACTACCCAAGCAGCAAAGCTTTGGGGTGAAGCCACCCCCCTCTCCGTTGTCCCCTGTGCCCTCAGTTGTGAAGCAGATAGCCAGTCAGTTTCCACCCCCTCCTACTCCTCCTCCTGTGGACTCTCAGCCCCTAAAGCCCCTCCCAGCAAGTGTCACCCCACAGTCCCCTCCTGCAGTAAAAGCAAAACCCAAATGGCAGCCCAGCTCAATCCCTGTCCCTTCTCCGGATTTCCCTCCTCCCCCTCCTGAAAGCAGCCTGGTGTTTCCTCCCCCACCTCCCCCAGCCCCAGCCCCAGCCCCAGCCCCAGCCGTGGCTTCACCTATCCCTGACAAAGGAGGATCTCCAGGCAGAAAGCCAAGTAAGATGTCCAGCCCTGGGGGGAAGAAACCGCCCCCAACCCCGCAGCGCAACTCCAGCATGAAGTCTGGGAGTTGTGCAGAACACCCTGAGCCCAAGCGACCCTCGGTAGACAGTCTAGTCAGTAAGTTCGCACCTCCAGCAGAATCAGGGTCTCCCAGCAAGGAGACCCCCCTGCCTCCCGCAGCACCCCCCAAGCCCGGGAAACTGCACCTTTCTGGAGTCCACCTTCCTGGAATCCACCAGCAAGGGAATGTACCGACAAAACCCTCTGTCCTGAGTGGGCGTGGAAAGGACTCCATAGCGGAATTTCCATCTCCTCCATCCGATTCTGACTTTCCACCCCCTCCACCCGAAATAGAGCTTCCTCTGCCTCCCATCGAGATTCCAGCCGTGTTCTCGGGGAACACCTCCCCCAAAGTGGCAGTTGTTAATCCCCAGCCACAGCTATGGTCTAAAACATCAGTAAAGAAGGCCCCTCCACCCACCCGGCCCAAACGCAATGACAGCACCCGCCTCACTCAAGCTGACATCTCTGAGCAGCCAACGATGACCACAGTTGTGCCACAAGTGCCCACCTCTCCCAAATCCAGCCTTAGTGTCCAGCCTGGATTCTTAGCCGATCTCAACAGGACCCTACAGCGCAAGTCTATCACCCGGCATGGCTCCCTCTCCTCCTCACGCATGTCCAGAGCAGAACCCACAGCCACCATGGACGACATGGCACTACCTCCCCCACCACCGGAACTGCTGTCTGACCAGCAGAAGGCTGGCTTTGGAGGTAGTCATATTTCAGGCTATGCAACATTGCGAAGAGGACCCCCGCCTGCTCCCCCTAAGAGAGACCAGAGCACTAAGCTTTCAAGAGACTGGTAGCCACAAGACTGATGCTCATGCTGTCCATAATCAGTTCTACAATCAGTTCATCTGACCATCTGTGAGCCCAGGTGTTCAGGGCCTCCCGATATGTTATTCAGGTAGTGTCCAGCTGTGTGTGTGTGTGTGTGTGTGTGTGTGTGTGTGTGTGTGTGTGTATGTGCTGCGTGGCTGTACACGCATGTACACAGATATACAGATTGTGTATATGTATACATCTGTGAATGTGTATATAGAGAGAACGGATTCTATTTATTCCTTTTCCTCCTAATCAGAATATGGGGTTTTGTATATTGGGTAGGAGGAGACACAGGAGGGGATATGTTGTCTCTTATAATTTGTCTATCGTATGGGCCGGACCAAAAACTAGAAGGTATTTCGTAAGTGTCTGTCCACGTGCCACCTATTTGTGCATGTGTTTTAGAAAAAACAGATGGACAGTCTCAGAAGGTATCATCAGAAGGTTTGGTATATCTACCTATAGGGCTTTGTTCTTTATTTTTCCTAGTTTTTCCTAGTTGGCTGAATTTAGAACTGCTTGACTGACACTTAAATACTACATGTAAAGGGGCACTTTAAATCAGGAAATTTAATGCATTACAGAACAGATAAACAGTGCAGGAAAGGGACCTCCTCAAGACACTGTTTGTGTTGTACACAGGAATGTTGGGGCTGTTCTAGGAGGCAGTAGAGCTGCCATGACCCTAGCCACCTCTTGAGATGTCTTCACGGGTAAGCTTTGTTTACAACACAAGGAGTATTTAATGCTATGATCCTGGCTACTTGCAGTACTGTCTTGCGAAGCTCCATAAACTTGGCTTCATGATTCTTGCTTTATTGTGAGAATGTCCTGTACACACTATAATGTAGTGTCCAGTTACCTTCATGTATAGTGTGCATTAACAGACATTTGAGTCCATGACTAGTCCAAATATGAAATATACACCCTGTGCCCAGTGTGGTACGTCATTACAAAAACAAAGTCACCTTCTGCACCGCCTTCACAACTTGTTCTCTGGGGGAGAAGAGTTAAAAAGAACAGAACTGGCCCTGTGCAGGAGTCATTCATAACACTGCGGTGCAAAGACCCCATTGGGATGGGATTATCGTGAACAAAAGAAGTTTTCATAATTTCATTCATAGCTACTGGAGCTACTAAGAGCTTTGCTGTTTACAGCGCAAGTGTAGAGATGTGACAGGCGCCCAGGTGTTGTGATGGAGCAGTCACAGACCAGTTACAGTGACTTTGGCGTGTGCATGCACAGCTGGGCAAAGCTTGGGAGCCTTGCTCTGATGACACTATTACGCTTCATACTATTCTTCTGTGTGCTTTTGTTACTTTTCCTTGGTACATGAGAAGTGTGTGCTTATCAACTTGCAGTGAAAGGTTGATGGGAATAAAATGCAATCTTAGAGCTACTTTTAAGAGAATAAAAACTGGCCACCCCACCGATTACAAATGAACACATCTTGTAAACAGAGTCTGTGCCTCTTCTAAAGATAATCAGTGCCAAATACAGAAATCTTTTGGTCCTGTTCCTCATGGCGAAAGTAACTCCAGTGACTGGGTCAAGAAGGTAAACTATTGGAGAAGACGGGCTTTGCATTTGTGCCATGTTTACTAGAGCACTCTCCAAAAAGGAAATGCATCGGAAAGATGTGTAAGTGGCACCTCCGTCACCCTGCAGCCCCCGTGCAGGGCGGCCCTGCAGCCGGGAAGGAGGAGCCGACTGCATAAGTCACTGTGCTTTTTAAAAGCCCAACTTAGGGACAGGTTTTGACTCTTTCAAGTTGCTCACCGAGCGAGTGTTTGTGCTTGCAGTTCTTATGAAGTGACTGTTAACGTACCTGCACTGTTAGTTGCAACACGCACAACAAACCTAGTTAAGCCGAGTAGTTGCGAGGCCCCTGAGACTGAGAGGAGTGCTTCCCCGCGCGCCTCAACCTGCGGCTCTGCTCACGCTCCGGACAGACCAGGAGTGTGGATCCAGTTGTCCCAGGATTGACCTGCAGGGTTCTGATTTCTTTTGTTTTCCTTTTTAAATTAAAGTAGGTAGACAGTCCTCCAATCTACATTGAGTCCTAAATCAACAGCTTTCTTTTTTTTCCGTGTGGATGTCATGGGAATTCTTAAGCCATCCTGAGCCATAGCTTCTGGTTTTTTGGGAGAGCAGACGTTTGAAAACTTGTAATGCCCAGACACTGAAGGGTAGTCACTGTCCATCTCTAACTCCAGGCGTGCAGTTTCTTAGCTATTAAAAAAAAGACATTCCAGCTTTTCTACCTGCCTAGTGTGTATGAAGGTTTGCTTGAGATATATAGCTCTTTTCCTTTCTCTGATGTGTTCTTGGAGAAGATGACACTGGTTCTGTGCCTTTTTTAACTGTCCTCTGCCTGGCAGCTCCAGCTTACATGGCTTTTCAGGCCAGTAAAAGGCACCTGGAGGCCTCTCAGACACGGACTAGGGAACAGGGTCCAGGACCTTCTCCTGAGGGCAGGATAAACAGAATTGGTGACTAGCCAGCCTGTTGACACCCTTAGTTTTTACTATCTAGGTCATGTCAAGAGTGTCTTAGTGTTTAAGGTTTGGCACCAACTCTGAAGGGCAGCAGACTATTCTCAGTTAATAAAATTACCTAACTCCGGTTCACAGGTGTTTATACAGACAGTATTCTGCATTAATCACACCAGCTTGGCTTTTACTCCCAAAAGATTTAAATACATTCTCTCTTTAGTGGCTATAATTCTCATTTGAAGAGGGAAAAAAATTCGTTTTTGTTTTTCAGATGTTCACTTAACTATATAACTAGATTTTTTTTTCAATGTCTAAACTTTTTAACATGGGAAAGATGGCTGGATCTTATCTTATTTTCATCAGATAATTAAAAGTAATAACAATGACAGTGGGTTTTTTTTTTTTTTTTAAGTCCTCCAAAATCAAGGTGCTCCTACCCACTGAAGGCATATCTTGCAAAGGGCTGAGAACTGTTTTGGATTCCCTCTCTGTGTTACTTGATATTATAAATACTCCTGAGTATGTCTAAAAAGTTACAACTGAGAGGTCACAGTAATTCTAACAGGGTACCAATGTCAAGGTTCAGAGCAACAGGAATCCAGGTTTCAGACGTCGAACAATGTGCTACTCAAATAAAATCAATATATGCTATGTAATTTTATGTTACAAACACAAGAAAGTAAAACACCCATTAGCCATTTCCATGTGTCTTGAGAACCAGCATCATAACTGATGTAATCCCAGATTTTACTCCGGTTTAGACCAATTAAACCACTGGCCCTGTGTGGTTGTGTTTTGATAAAAATAGGTATAATTCTTTTTGTTATACATTAAGAGAATGGCTTTCTTTTTTTAAAAATTCTGTTTTGTAACTTCATTTTTTAAGCTTCCACTTTACATTATCTGTAACACGTAACCTCTCTCAAAGTTTACCCAAAGGTAAATACAAGAATAAAACTGAATAACCCACCATTTTTTACCATGGCCCTTTTAAAATCCAGTGAAAACATGTTATACCTTAAGAACTCTAGCTATATCAAAAATTACACGTGCTCAGTGCCCTTAGGGGGAAGAACGCTTATGTGTACAATGTGTGTAGGGCAGGGGCTCCTTCTGGGTTTGCTCTGAAGTAACCTATGTTAGAACGCTATCTGCTGTAACCCCCAGTGCCTTGTACTCTTTAGAAGAATAGCATTTAAAAACAACAAAAACCACCAAGTAAATGTTGAGGTGCTAAGGAAAGAGAAGCAAGGTAAGTACTTTTGAAGTTTGGACAGAAATGGAGGGAAACAATGACCCTCCAAGAGTTTTCATCCACCTAAATGGAATCTGGCTGTTTCCTACCAAAGATGTTGAGAAGTGGCAGTCCACAGTGAGCCCTACTTAAGATCTGGCCAAACCGGGAGCATGTTGTTCATGGGCTAGGAATTTTAAGCAAGTGATCGTTAAAGCATCAATTTCTTAGGAAGTAAGACATGGCTGCAGCATGTAGGGATACATTTTAAAAGCTGTCCATTCATTAAATTTGTTACAACTTAATACTAAAACTGCCATTTTTCAAAATTCCACCTCCTGATTTTTCCTGTATTTGTAAATAGTCCCTCCTAGAAAATAAGCATTAACTGGAATGTTTTAAATGTCTTTGCTTAGTTTTAATATCAGCCACTAGTGAACGATTCTTCCAGAGTTGCATAAGGTAAAATGTAATTAGCTTGTGCTAAGTGTTGTAAAAATTCTGTTTGCTGTTTTCAAAGAGAACTGCACACTATCTTTAACTGGGGGTGTCCTCTCTCCGTTTCTTTTAAAATAAAATAAAATGGAGCCAAGGCTCACCTAACTTCTAGCTGTGGGAACTTTGTCATAAATAGATATAATGTAGAAATATACTTTTTTAAAGCATGATGGTAACAAAAATGTACCTGAAAGAGGACATGATTCAGAGGATTATGCACAGCTTGATAAAGATGAAGTTGTTTTCTTTCAGCCTGTTGCTATTATTTTCTTCTGCATAAGTGTACCCATTTCATTATGTGCCTTGCTCCCTGATTGTGCAAAGCTATATATATATAAAAATATATACACACACACAAATATATATGAGAGAGATATATTCATTCAGTACTACTGATGATGTTTTTGTTCTACTGCTGGATTAAGTTATTTTTCTGAGTTACACTTGCCACCTGTCATGAACTATTGTAATGGCTTAGGACAGTAGTCATATAGCCAGAGTAAATTTGTTTTTCCAGTTATATATTTTATGTCATCTAGCCCAATCCTTAATAAAAAGAAAATTACATAGATTCCATTTAAATACAAGGATTCCGCGTGTTTTGGTTGAGTACTATTAAAACCCTGGTTTTGTAGGGCTGGAGAGATGGCTCAACTGTTAAGAATGCTTTCTGCTCTTCCAGAGGACCAGAGTTCAGTTCCCAGCACCCGCGTCGGGCAACTCAAAACCACCTGTAGCGACAGCTCCAAAGGATCCACTGTCTCTTCTGGCCTCCAGAGGCATCTGAACACATAAATAAAGCACATTCTTTAAAGAACCTGGTTTTAAGGCCTGTTGTGTCAGGGTATTCTCAGCAGGTTAGGAGTTGGAGGTGAGTTGACTATAGCTGGGTGTGTCCTGCTGGCTTATACCAGCAGACTGAAGATCTTTAAATATTACTAACTTGAATGGCAAGGGACCAGTAAGTAAAGGTGTTTGCCTGCCTGACAACCCAAGCTCAGTCAGCATGTGTAAAAAAATGCAAAAAAAAAAAAAAAAAAAAATCCTACCTTAAAAATAGTAATAGCTTTTTTTTTTTTTTTTTTTTTAATATAGATTACAAATATATTTGTAGTAGCCGGGCAGTGGTGTCACACACTTGAGGCAGAGGCAGGTGGTGTCTTTGAGAACAGTCAGGGCTACAAAGAAAAAACCCTGTCTTGAAACCCAGTACCACCTCTCAAAAATTTGTGTGTACACGGGCTAGAGCTGCAGCTACAGAGCCAGTATGTGGGTGTTGGGAATCAAACCCAGGTGGCTCTGTACAAACAGTAACTGCTCCTAACTGTTGGGCCTTCTCTCTAGCCCCTGATCTTTTATTTTATTTTAAAGTACACCTAGGTAAAGACTAGTGTCAAAAGGATGGCCCCCTAGCACACACACAATGACTTAGAACTACAATTCTGAATTGCTAACCACCATAGTAAGTGAGTACATTTAGTTACAGTTCACAAGTCAACTTGCCATTTAGCATCGTTAAACTATAATGAAACTGAGTGCTACCAACTGTGGAGACTCTCCTTTGGCTCTGGCTCTGGAGAATGACTAGACACAGAATGGCAGCACAAGGAGACAAACGCATCCCCCACTCCCGAAACATGTCAATGTATAATTCCATACAGACCCTAATAACAACAGAAGGCTGGACTCCCAATTATCTTCAGAGACAAGCATATTCCCACGACTGAAAGGCCCCTTTATTTCCAAAAGTCCTTTTCTTGAAAACACTTTTCCACATCATCTACCAGGGAAGTGACAGAGAAATTGAAGGCTGAAGTAGTATTCTCACCCTGGAGATAAGCTCACATCCAACAAATCACTGGAAAACTTTTGCTTTTAAACCTCATTCCAATGATGGGAAAACTTAGCTATATCTAGAAAAAGCAGTTCATAATTAAGCGAGCAGCTACCTTTAAAACAATATTGTCAGAGATCAAATTTGTTAAAAGTTCAATACTTTAAACTCTTAAATAATTGAATGCTTAGAACCACCTTAGAAAAAAGTAGACCACATAAATAATTCTACGAGACACTGGGATAGACTTCGTGTGATTTTTTATTTGGGTCAAGTTCTTAGTACACAGCAATAGTTATTCCAAATACAATTTAAAAATTACGTGAATGTCCCTCACTCATCTGGAGGTGCTTAATGGCGCACACAAGGAATGTTACTGGCAACAGTTGCCTGAATTTTTTTTTTTTTTTTTTTACTCAGTACCACCAACAGTGGGAGCTTTAAAGTTTAACTGGCCAGATCATAAATTGTTTATTCTTTTTGTAAACCATTTTGTTAAAAAAAAAAAAAAAGTATGTGGACACAAAGTATGGTTAAAAATTGCTTTTCCATAGAATTCTGAACTTGCAAAGGAGGTTCCAGTTTAATGTGAAAATAATTTTTTTTTTACAAAAAAATTAACATTTAGCAAGGATTGTTTACACAGCTAGGCCCTGCCATTTCATTTGTTGATTTTTTTTAAATAGAGATTCTCAATAAAACAAAGAGCATGGAAGTAAACTTAGCTAACGAGCTCAATGCCTCCATTTATACTTTGTAAGGCTCTCGTAAGTAAGGCTGTGTACTGTGTTGAGCTCCACTCTGCCGCTGCCAGTGAAGAACTAAGTACAATGCATTCTCGCTACACACAGCTTTATGGAAAGGTGTTCATGAATGCAGTTTCAGAGAGTTAAATGAAGATTATTCCACTCAGGTTGCGCTTAGACTCCTTTAGAATACTTGGGTGGTTGTTTTTCCTTTTTGTTTTTTTATTAAAACATGGCATGTTTTTTTCAAGTATAGTCCTGAAAACAGGTAGACTCTATTTCTAAAGAAAAATGCAGCACATTTAATTCTGACAGTTGGTACAGCGGAGAGAGCACGGAGTCAAGAACTAGCTAGCTGTTTATCTGAAACAAAGCACCTAACCCCATTGTTAAAATGATACTGGGAGAAACAATTTAAAGCTTAGTAGTTCAAAATCTCTGATTCCAAGTAAACAGTGTTAGGGAAATGTCACCTTTAGGAGCCCCTGGCCAAAGCTATTCAAAAGTAAACAGCTCCCACTCACTTCAAAGATTTGGCAGTCAATACCATTTCTCCACCAAAGCCCTTTTCAGGAGTAAAGGCAGCCTTCAGGACACATGTTCTCTCCATAAGGAGAAAGGGTCATAAAGTTTGTCAAACAAGCTGTACTGCAGAAAGGTCACCTTTAAAGAAAATAAAAACTGAAAAAAGCTATCATTTTGATGTCCGACACATCAGAATCATCTTTAATCAACATAAAATTGTTAATGAGTACAACTACATGGTAGACATCATTTGTAAAGATGCATAAACCACTCTCTAGCCCGGCAAAAAACAACAGTAGTACTGTTAAGGAAAGGAGGGAATAAACTTAATAACGGCAAAATCAGCAGTCCTGTACCAATCCCAAGATGGCGACAGCAAGTTCCTCTGAGGAAGACACAAGGAAGTAGCCAAAAGGAAAATACTGTAGGAGACCTCTTTAAAAACTCGTATTTATTCCAAACACAGCAGGCTGAAATCTTAGGTCTAGATTTCAAAATGTTGGCACTATTTTTGTTTCTAATTTGCCTTGGCTATAAGGTCAAACACAAGAATGTATTTTCATTCAGATCCATGGCCTTTCAAATATTAATAGCAAAAAAAAAAAAAAAGACAAATGTCTGGTCTTTTTTTTTTTTTTTTAAGGGTAAAGGAACTGCACACAGAATCAGACATTTCAGCAGAGACCAGTGCCATCAGAGTACCTGTGTCTTGGTAAAGTGGTTGCTTACTGGTCAGCAAAGTCTCAACATTTGTTGAAAATTACTAGTATCAACCATATTTTAGTTTATGGACAAATAAATGGGAAAATTTACAATAAAACAGGAAATAACCTCACATACTATTAACAGCATGCAATCTATAAAATATTACATACATTAAAAGTCTCCAATTACTATAAGCCTGGCTCACTGTTACACAGTATCCTTCCAAGACAATTCATAAAATTCAAAATAGCAGGAATTTAAAAGACTGGGGAAAAGGGCCAAAAGATTGTTGTTTTTAGTATCACATCATTGTTCAATAATACGGGGCGGGGGCGGTTTCAGCTGGCCCATGGATTACTACCCCCAATGCAAGTCTTCAGCACACAGGACCTCACAAGAGTTTTCTACAAACCCTAATTCAACAGGGGTCCAGAAGGTAAGTGTCTTCCTGGTACCTGCCACCAGCTGTTACTGTGACTATACAAAGCTAGTCATTTGCTGGGTTTCCAGATGTCTTACTAATCCACTAAGCTTGTTTTGCAAAAGACAATTTAAATAATTAGTACAACTATTTTCAAAAGTTTCCATGTACCAATACAAGCAAAGTTAAACATGTTCATATATAGTCTTGCTGGGTCCATAATGGAGCTAAAGAGGGCATTCGGGGACATATCCTATAGACAGTCAAGATGACCTAACAAAAGCATGAAGTGGAAAGTGAACTAGAAACAAGTTAAAGATGAATCCAAAGCATTCAGAAAAATCTAAAAGTGTAATAGCTGGTGTGCAATGTGATTTAAAAAACATTAAAAAAAAAAAATAAAAGCCTGTTCTTAGTATACTGGCTCCTGCTTGTAATCCAAGTATTTGGAAGGCTAGAGTAGGAGGAACTCCATGTCTGAAACAAAATAGTAAAGCAGAAGTCTTGAGAAGGACACTGGGCAGACCTGAGTCACAGTGAAGCCTCGGGCTCAGATGACAGATCTACAGTGGCGTGTTGGCTTCTGCCTGTACAGCCTGCTTTCTCCACATCTCCGCTTGTTAGCTTCCAACCGCCTCCCAGCTTCACCAGCCGGCATGTGTGAGGCCTGCATCTCAATATGACATCTTTACTTCCTCTTCCTTCCCACCCTTCAGGTGGAGTTACCTACCCAGTTTCATTCTGGCCAGTTTACTGGACTGGTAAGAATCCACGCTGGAGCTTTGGCCCTAAACATAAACTTGCCCACCCCCATGGCATTTACCTACTGGGCAGCAATACCTCCTCTACTTTCTTTCAAATATTTCTTACACACATTACAGAAGTGATTATTAAAACCACCAGACATAAGCTCCACTGAACTTAAATTAGCTGTAGATGAGGGAAGATGCCAATTGTTTCAAAATAACACTGATTTTCATTGGTGTGACTGGGTATTTTGTCCTACTAATCTTTTCCAGTACACTCTTTACTCTGAATCACAAGGTTCAGACTCTTACTAGGAGTTACTATTTTAGAATGTAATCACACCAAACCAGGAAGATAGGACTTTTCTATAGCTGAGAGAATAAAAACAAAACTCAGCATCAGCTAACACTGCCATTGGTAATGGTCCACGAGTAGAGCAGCGGCCTTTCATTCCTGGTCCAATGACTGCCGAGAGACTCGACAGCTAGTCTCTTCTAAAAAGGAGGGGAAATGTTTTTCAAATAGTAAGACAACGGTAATAGTCTTTCTTTCTAGGCCCTACTCTCTGAAACAGTGCCCAAGACTGAGCTCCACAGCCTCGGGAGCCTGTGTCCAGCTTCACCAAACCACCACAGTACATGAAGTACCCGCCACACTTGACATCATTTCCCTGCTATCAGCAATGCAGTCTCATGCAACAGTGCATTAACCATTAAACTGATGGTTAACCCTGGGAATGTTGGGAGACTTTCACATTTTGTCATCCTTATAATCTACAAACATGACAGGATGCAAGGGAGTTCAGGATCAACTCACCTAGCGCACTCCAGTGCTAAGAGAACACAGGATTTACAGTGTTAAAGAAGAAAAACAGCCTTTTGAAATAATCGAAAAGTAGTTAAATATAGTTTTTAAACACTGGTTCCTTCCTCTCCATATAGTGAAAGAAAGTGAGGGAAAAGGGTTGTCCACCAGGCCATGAGGTTAGCCCCAAAGCAGAGGCAATGAATGTCCCATGTCACAGATTCTGAGGAAGAGAAATCCAAGGGTGTAGGGTATTCCTGAGAAAGGTCCCAGCTTTTTTGTTTTTCTCACGACAGTCTTGGTCTGATTTGTTTTAGCTACATGTTCATACTGTTATGACTTTCACAGATTGAGAAATGGTCACATTTTCAATCCAGACAGCATAATACAAATGACAGCAAGAAGATCCATTTGTTCAGACTTGGCTAATGTTTTTGTTTTTAATACTAGGGGATAAACCAAACCAGTAATAAAAGAAGTAACTCTATCATTTGTAAGCATCATTCATTTCAATGAGAGGAAATCCCAGGGCCTTCAGCTAATCTGGGAAGACCTGGCCTCCTGAAAGTGAAGCAGAGCTGTGCTGGACTTTACTCCGAATAATGCATGATGGACTCAACATAATTCCCAGGGAAGAGCCCAGTCACTCCATTCATAACTCCCTCATACCAACCATCATCATTCTTCTTGATGACATAAATAATGGCTCCTTCCTGAAAGGACAGCTCGTCTTCCTTGTCTTTTGTATAATCATAAATTGCCACAACTAGGGGGAAACAAAATAGGACGTGAACAAGAATATCATTCCTAGAAAGACAAAACCAGATGAGCACTCACGAACATGGCAACTTTCCAAACACTAAAATTTATATTCATGTTTTCTAATAGCCAGTTCAAAACAATCAAATATCCCTTTCTAGAAAAAAATGTTCTAAATCCAGTATAAATGCAAACAAGCAAAAAAAAAAATACATTTAGTTAAAATTACCCTATTCTACCCTAGTTGGTCTATAAGAAAACCAACTGCAGAGAAAAACATAACCTAAGGATCATAAAAGACAGCTATTTGAACTTATACTAAGACACCTTATTGTGTAAAAACAACTCCTTACATTTAAACACACTGCTGTGTGAGGTGACTGAGCGATGAGAGAGGCTAAAGGAACAACAGGCCATGTCTCATTCTCTGGACTCTGCCTATCAGTGAATGGGACTGAATTCCTACAAGTTAGGTCCACCATATATGTACTTTTTCATTGAAAACAGACTGCACTACGTTACCAATTTAATATGTCCACAATAATAGAGAACCAGGACACTACTAAGTTTCTCTGTGGTTTTGTTTCAATCACTTGGCAACAGGCCTCTGAACCTGGCTCTTGGGTTCCTAGCATTACATCTACCTTCAAGAACTTTGATACAGTGGGATACCTTGTAACTTAACTCACATCTGGTTAAGACTCGGCCTTTGTTCCAACCCCTGTATCTTCTGCACACCATAAAGAACTTTTTCAACAAAGATTTCCATTTGGGCCACCAAGATGGTTGGTGGGTAAAGGTACTACCACCAAGTGTAGTGACCTAAGTTCAATTCCTAGGACCCACATAATAGAAGAGAATGGACCCACAAAATTGTCCTTTGGCCTCTACTATGGCACTCACACATGTGTGACATACATAGACAAACATATAAACAAATGATTTTTTCATTAAAAAATATCTTCAGCTATTTTTCTGAACAAATGCTGAACCTTGTCTTATAATGTGAGGGCAGAGGCCTGGGCCCTGTATTTCTGAACCACTTTAGTAAAAATTTAATGGTTCCCCTCATCCATAATTATCTTCTATTATTGGGATACACTGAGGATGTCACAAAATATTGAGTATACTGAAGACATCAGAGGCCTAACATAGAAAAGTCAGGGTATGTTTCTCTATCAAAAAACAATTCAGTGTAATTATATGACAAATTTAGATATAAGAAAATTAAAGTGTTTATTATTACCAGCCAATCAATCTTTTCTCATATTTTTTAAAGAAAAAGCAACATTCTTGTTACTCAAGAAAATGTACCCACTGAAAAGTAACCCAGAAGATGATTATCTTTATATTTATAGCAACAAAGCAATTTAGTGGATAAAGTTATTACATTCAAGGTGTATCTATTTTCTTTAAAATATAGAAATTGGGAGTTGGAGATTTAGTTTAGTGGTTAAGTCAAGAGAGAAAGAGAGAATGAGAAGGAAGGGAGGGAGGGAAGAAGGGAGGGAGAAAGGAAAGGGAAGAAAAGAAAAAGAAAGTTTCCTCAGAAAGAGTCCATAGCAAATGCAAGTCTATGACTCTAGTTATAGAAGTGCAGAAGACTCTGTTTTTTTAGGGATCAATTGAAATTAACTTTTTTTTTATTCCCCTAAAAAAAAAAAATCACTGTTTAAAATTACCAATTTTCATTCTAGGAAAACATAGAAATATATGAAATGTTAAACATCTGGCTATTTCTATGTGGCTATAAGCAAAAGAAAACTAACAGTGCCCTCAATATGTCTAGTACTAAGATGAAAACACTCTAACTTCCCAAGTACACTGTCCCTCGTCAGCACTCCAGGGAAGAGCATCCTATATGAAATTATTTAGCTGAGCAAAACTAAATGTTTCCTTTTAAATTTAATAAGAAAAATGTTAAAGGCTAGAAAAGGAAAAAGAAATGGAAGGAGAAAAGAGAATTCAGGAGGGAAGGGGAAGGTGGAACAAAGATGATTCAACTATCTTCTCTCATAAAATATGTAACAAGCTTTAAACACAGAAGGAGATACTGCTTACTCCTGTGTGCTCCAACACAAGGACTGGACATTTCTAAATAGATCCATATTCAGCATTATTCAACCAATTGAGTCAGCAATAAGTATACAAATATGTGTTAGAAGGGAAATGAAAACAAGAGTGCTCTGGAGAAGTCCTAGTGTGGGTGACAGACACTGGCAGTCACACCTGGCAGTGAGGGGCCTCGCACTGAAGTTACTAGAAAGTCAAAAGGTGACCAGGTTTACCATCTCAATCTACTTTGTATGAAAGCTTTTATTAAGAACTGAGATGGTTTTACTTCCATGGAGAATGGAAAGCTTTATCATGCAGCAGGAAAACACTGTTGAATATAATTTGTAACTGATCTACGATCTGCCTGAGGTGACCAAAGTTGTCTTTGACATTATCACTAATAAATTCGACTTCTTGAAAATGCACTCTGAATTAAAAGCAATTGCAGAACTTCCTATGGCTGTTTCTATTAAAACAATGCCATGTTGTTGATGAGGCATGCTTCCTCTTGCCCACCATACTAATGGAACTGCTCACACAGAAGTGACGGATGAGCCAGCTTGTCCTTCTGAGACCCCTAGCCCTCTCATCATGTTCTGTTTGGCAATGGCTACCTGTGCTCCCTCTCAACATTTTCTCCAGTTTCTACAAACATTGCCTTCTATTACTCTTGTTACTCCCTGAGCTTCAGCTAGGAGTTAACCCTACCTTCCCCTACCACTTTACCTAGAACTCAAGTCCCTGTAACTACTCGCCAAATCTCTGAAACCAAAACATTTCGTCCATCAACACGGTCATTGTCCTTACCAATGGACTAGTCTTTTTTTTCTTTTTTTTTAATTTATTTTTTATTAATTTACAGTTTATTCACATTGTATCCCAACTGTGGCCCTCTCTCTCATCCCCTCCCAAATCCCAGCCTTCCTCCGTCTTCTCTACCCATGCCCCTCCCCAGTCCACTGATAGAGGAGGTCCTCCTCCCCTTCCATCTGATCCTAGTCTCCTAAAGGACTTGGATATTTTCTCAGCAGTTTAAGGACCGAGTTTTACAATCTCTTTCTGACTTACATTGCTTCCTGAGGTATTCTGCTTGGGATGATACCTTGGTCAAACATCAACTGACCAAGTGTTCTTGATTCCTTCTACTTTACCCTTCTACTTTATCCTTCTACTTTAACAAAAGTACAGAAGTGTACTATCTCCAGATACAAAACTCCTAGATGCCAGAAAAAGCATTCAAAAACAACTCACCTTTACTAACCCAATCTTTCTGAAAGTCAAATTGCTTCCATCTATCCTTTTCCTTAACAAAATTTAAACAAGCCCTTAAATCGGAGATAACAGCTAACATCGTAAATAATTATTTTAAAAAACAATATTGTTTGGTTTTTAACAGGTAACCCTGAAAATGCTAAAACAACTGAGAAACAATTTCTAAGTCCCTACATTTGCCAAACTGAATGCAAATGCCAGAGCTCAGGGCAGTGGGGGCAGCATGAGCTCCACTGTTCAAATCGCAAATCGATTACTACTTCCTACAAAACCTACTCCTAAACTTCTATTTACCCCTTTGTAGGAATTACAATAGTTCTCACTTGCTACCTGAAAGCACTGTTATATTAAGTACAATGATTCTTAGAAACAATCATTATTAGTTTATTCAAAACTTCTATAATGTGACAGGCACAAAAAGAATGCATAAAACTACCTGTCACTCCAGGTATGATGGCATTTAACCCAACACTTGGGAGCAGAGGCAGGAAGACCTCTGAATTCAAGGTCAGTCTAGTCTACACAGTGAGACCTTATTTCAAAACAAAGCAAAAATTTGCCTCTACCCAAGGTTAAGTCAGGGCACACAGCCCTTTCTTGATGACTACAATGAGAAACAAGAACTAAAGTGAAACTTAAGTTTTGGTGGTGACGGCCAGCCTTGGGACATACAAGAAACTGCAACAAACTGCCTCTGTTGTTTTGTGGAGGTTGGGTTGTGTGGGGTTTTGTAAGATGCAGTCTTTCTGTGTTGCCAAGGCTGGTCCTGAACTCCTGAGAGCAAGTTAATCTTCCTCATAACCTCCCAAGAAGCTATGACAAGAAGGTCAAGCTAAGGCCAGTAATAAAATGTTAGTGAAGGATTAAGAGGTATGCTCCCAAGGTCTCCAGCACTCACTGGTTTAAGAACCAGGCCTTAAGGTTTGAGATAAGAAAACAAGTCACTGTTTTCTCCCTCTTCTGATGTTCATCTCATTTGCCTGTCTGAATGAAGATTGAGCATCTTACCCGGGTCCTCCTCGATTAGCTTCTTTAGGTGTTTAGACTTTAGTATGATTATCCTATATTATATGTCTAATATCCACTTATAAGTGAGTATATACCGGGTGTTTTTCTGCTTCTGGGATACCTCACTCAGGATGATCATTTCTAGATCCCACCATTTGCCTGAAAATTTCATGATTTCCTTGTTTTTAACTGCTGAGTAGTATTCCATTGTGTAAATGTACCACAGTTTCTGTATCCACTCCTCAACTGAGGGACATCTGGGTTGTTTCCACCTTCTAGCTATTACAAATAAAGCTGCTATGAACATGGTTGAGCAAATGTCCTTGTTGTGTACTTGAGCATCTTTTGGATATATGTCTAGGAATGGTATAGCTGGATCTTGAGGTAGCACTATTCCTAATTGAGAAAGCGCCAGATTGATTTCCAAAGTTGTTGTACAAGTTTACATTCCCACCAGCAATGGAGCACAGAGGGCACCCAGCAGGGTATCAAAACAAATGCTGAGAATCATAGCCAAACTTTGGACAGAGTGCAGGGAATCTGATGAAAGAAGGGGAAGATAGAAAGACCTGGAGGGAACAGGAGCTCCACAAGGAGAACAACAGAACCAAAAAATCTGGGCACAGGGGTCTTTTCTGAGACTGATATTCCAAACAAGGACCATGCATGGAG